AATTAAAAGAAAAAAAAAGCAAACAGAAAAATCATGAGCTTAGTCTGATATACTTTTCTAGTTTTCTAAAGTCATATATGATCCTTATAGAAACTCTCCTATATTTCCATTTTTAATGACTAGTATTCTATTGGTAAGGCTTCAAGTGAACAAGATCTGGAGCCAAATTGCCACTTAAATTGTAGCTCTGAGTCCTCCCTGGTGGCACAATGGGTTTAAAGCACAGCACCATGTGGCAGGTTCACTGCTGCTGCTTCACCGCCAGTTCAATCCACGACCAAGGAGGTGACCCACTTGGTGCCGCAGACCTCTGCTGACTTGCCTGCTCCCTCAGCAGTGTACTTTGTAGATCTGCCTGTTCTGCTCCTCTCTATGCCTCTGGTGAATCCTCTCACCACCCCTGTACCTCTGGCCTGTACCCCAGTTCTGTATACATAAATCTTTAAAAATAATATAAATTGTAGCTCTTCCACTTAATGTTACTAAGACCTTAGATGAATATTAACTGTGTTTGTGGCTCTATTTCTTCATCAAATTGCAACTGTTGTTCCCCTATATACAATGAATTGTTTATTTCTGGTGTTGTCAGATTTTTTCCTTCATTTTTGCTTTTTAGCAGTTTGAGTATGATCTATCTGCTGGATGCGGTTTTCATTAATTTTATCTGTTTAAGTTTCACTAAAATCTTAAATCTTGTGTTTAGGGAGTTCCAGGCCATTTTTTTTCTTCAATTTTTTTTCTACGTTATCCTTTTTCATCTTTGGGATTTCAATGATACAAATATTGGATTTTTTAAAAAAGGTTCAAGCTGACCACAGATTTGAGGAATACAACAGGGATGGGGGTGGGAGAGGGACCAAAATGTGGGAGGAAAGAACACAGGGGACTATTATGATCCTTCACAGGTACTATGGTGGTGGGAGAACCATGGGGACTAAACTGGAGGGGAGAGATCAAATATTGTACAAAAATGAATACTGATGTAAGAAAATAATTAAATGGAAAAAAGGTTCCACATGTCATGAAGGTTATGTTCTTTTTTTATTCTCCATCCCTTTTCTGTCAATTCTTCAGACTGTATAATTTCCAGTGATTTAATTTCAAACTCAATGATACTTATCTCCTCATTTCATTCTACTATTAAATCTATCCATGTTAATTTTTATCTTGTGTATTTTCTCGGATCTATTACTTCCATTTTTAACATTTATTTATGCAAACAGAACTGGGGTACAGGCTAGAGGTGCAGGGATGGTTATAAGATACATCAGAGACAGAGTGGGGAGCAGAACAGGCAGACTGACAAAGTACACTGCTGAGGGGAGCAGTGGGCAGGTCAGGAGAGGTCTGCCACGCCATGTGGTCACCTCCGTGGTGGGTATCGAACTCATGCTGAAGTGGCTTTAGCTTCTTAGTGCTTCTTAGTGCTTTAACCCGCTGCACCACCAGGGAGGGCCCTAATTTACTTTTGACTAGATGAATTGTATCCTTTCAAGTTTCATGTTTAACTCTATATCAAAATTTCTAAATTTTTGAGAGACTATTATAAAAGAAAATGTAGATCACTTATAAATTGTTACTATGAATAAAAAGTCCTGCAATAATCTGTTAAAAAACAAACTTGGGATAAACAGCACTCTATTAATATTTCTTTTAGTATCTCTTTTATGTAAAACTTAAAAAAGTTCATGTATAATTTATAACTTATTTAAAAATAATACATAAGGCAAGTATAAATAACTTTATTGCTTTTAGAAGTGTTATTTAAAATAAGAATCCGAGTAGATTTCTAGGAAAAGAGAAGATGAAATTGAAAATACCAAAAAACCTGGTCTCAGAAATAAATTCCATTTTATCAGCAAGGGAATTGACCTATTTTCACTGATCCTTGGCAGCAGATACATCTATGAGTATGGAAGACACAGTTCCATTTTTTCTCCATCTTTAAATACATAAAAGACTTTCTTATTCTGATCCTTTAACTAATGCTCCTAATTATAACAACAACCCTTTCCATATGCACAGGGAATAAGGTAAGTTAGCTGCTATGCACCAAGAGCAGAGTACACCAAGAGAAGCACTGCAGTGAACACCACAGATAACAATGTGAAGCAGAATCCAGTTACTAGGTGACGGAATCACATAAGAGGATTCAGCCTTAATCTATGGTAATTTTTCTAATCTCCATTTTGGCAAAAGTGTGACGTTTTTTATATTTAAAGTCTAAACATAAATTCCTAATTCTGATGCATAGATTTTCCCAAAGGTAGTAAAATGTAAAAGTCTGAGGAGACTTAAGATCTTGGTTCCAAAAAGTGTCCTTCGGAATTTACCCAGATTCTATTCTATTTAAACTTTATTTTTCTTATTTCTTATTTAATCACAGTAAATATAAACCTGTATAGTATCTTTTCCCACAATTTCAGTGTAAGAGATTTGTGTGTGTGTGTGTGTGTGTGTGTGTGTGTATGTGTATGTTGTGTATGTGAAACAGATTTTGAAGTAACTTCTAAAATCTGTTCATAGAGATTGATGAGGGTATGCAGGAAGGCTGTGTGTGAATCATGTCATTGAATCAAATTAAGGAATATTGTCCTGTTACAGAAATATATTTAGATTAAGAAAATGGAAGACTCCATTAAAAACAACTAGCAAAATATATTTTCAAAAGGGAGACAGGGTAAAGAAGAAATACAGATCTTATTCTTTTTCACATAGTACAGTATCTCATGCTAATTTAAAAATCTTTTTTTTAATATCTATTTTAAAAAAACTGGGATGCAGGCCAGAGGTGCTGGGGCAGTGGAAGGATTCACCAGAGACAGTGTGGGGAACAGAACAAGCAAACTGTCGAAGTACACTGCTGGGGGGAGCAGCAGGAGGGTTAGCAGAGGTCTGCTGTGCCATGTGGATCATGGATCACCTCCAGGGCAGGGATCAAACTAGCTCTGAAGCAACCATGGCTAGCTTGCAGTGCTGCACTTTAACCCACTGCGCCACCAGGGAAGGCCTCTAATTTTAAAATCTAAGCTATTGTTTACTGCTCTCACTCCACTCCAGTAGCTTTACTGACAAATGACACTGTAAATTTAAGGACTACATCTTGTTGACTGACTGCTATAATTTTCTTTAGGAAACTTTCAGGATGACAGGTATGTGACAATAGGTGTCCCTTCAGAGCTGGTTAGTTCCTGTCTGCTAATATGACTTCCCCGACTAGCTTAATCTTCCTTTCCTTTTTCAGGTAAATTTTTAGGTGACTTTAAATTTTATTTTTCTCCTCTAAAACAGAAACTACTGGCTGTTTCTGAGTTACTCTTCTCCCTTTATCCTCCAACTTCTAGTGTTGAAAACTTGCCACCTTTTGAATAGAGCTTATTTCAAAGTATTCCTTTCAAATATTTTTAGCATTTATTACATTTTTGGTCATTTTTAGTTAACAGAAATCAATATAAAAGATTCTCAGACCACAATACATGATGCCATCTAATCTAATAAAATATTCATAGTCCTCAAACAAGTCAGACTATTTTGGGTAATGGAAAAAATGAGTATTTTATGGCTAATAAATACTATTTCTGTGAAACCTCCAAACAGTTCTTCTATAGGATTTACCAATTGCCTGGATAGTGAAAGCACATGTGCTCCAGGTCATCATGGGGACTCGAGGATCCATTTCATCAGGAGGCACTTTTAGTCCAATTCTATAAATTGTTGTGGCAAAGAGGACAACCATTTCCTTGATGCTTTTAGAATATTTTATCCTAAAAAGAAAACAAGGAAAATTTGTATAGTGATTTAGTAAAAGTGGCTACCTATTGAGAACTCCAATTAGGTACAGAAGCAACAATTTCACTCCTTGAGTAATACAAACTGTTCTTTGTTAAATTAGAGATTAGAGTATCTGAAGGTTGATTCACTAAGAAAAAAATAGAAAAGCAGAATGATATCTCCTATAGATAGAAACATATCTCTTACAAAATGTAAGTGGTCTATATGACTTCCCTTCCTATAAATTCGCAGTAAATGATCACCGGAGAAAGGTTCCAGGTCCAAATTAAGGGGAATACTGGACAGAGGATGAATAAAATTCTGAGGAAACAGATCTGGTCTGACAAGATGTAGTATCTGGACATTGGAACAAGAAATAGTTTGTGTTGAAAAAGGTGTATGTATGTGATAATATCATGTACTTGGAGGAATAATTTCTCAATTTCCTAAGCTTTCATTTGTAATAAATAACAAATATTAGCAATGGGATACTACTAGAAAAGTGTACTACAAATAATATTCTTTAAATACTAACACCTGACTTGGGTATTATACTTTAATATATGTAACATACATATATGAAATATGACATTATATATGAAAGATTTATAAAACAGTAATTGTTGAGCCTAATTGGATTGATTGCCTACTAAAACAAAAAACAAAAAGTACTGTGTTCCAGAGAGTTTAACAAGAGGCATTACCCCTCTCACATATCTACATATCTAAAATATATAGCTATACATACACATATCTGGAAATATCTAGGAAATATAGGTATATTTTTCAGTGTCTTCTCATAAAAATCTTTCCAAAAACCTTATAAGATAAGCTAGGAAGTCAACATCTCAATTTCACCAAATAAGAAAAACAAATCTAGGAGGGATGTGTGATTTGAGACTTTTTAGAAATTACAGAGCAAGTTAGATGTAACTTTAACTGATAGTTCTTAAGTTCTTCTATCAGTATTATTTACACATGGCACTTTTATTGGTAAAAAAAAATGGTCAGTTATAGGCATGGTTTACCCTAATACATAATAATCTACTGTTTCAAACCATTTAATACAATTAATACAAATAAAAGTCCGAAGACAAAGAAATAAGATAAAAATGGGATAAAGAAACAATTTTACAAATAAAGCAGGAAGGACTGCTCTCTACTTTCATTTTCATAGGCACTTATAAATCTATCTTAATTATTTAAATACTCACGAAGACTGAATTCCAAAATTCAGGATAGACTGGAATTCAAGAGATGAATCACCCATTCCTTGATTAAACAAGACTGGAACTGTTTGGTTTTCTCCTTATAAATTAAAAGAAAAAAAAAGCAAACAGAAAAATCATGAGCTTAGTCTGATATACTTTTCTAGTTTTCTAAAGTCATATATGATCCTTATAGAAACTCTCCTATATTTCCATTTTTAATGACTAGTATTCTATTGGTAAGGCTTCAAGTGAACAAGATCTGGAGCCAAATTGCCACTTAAATTGTAGCTCTGAGTCCTCCCTGGTGGCACAATGGGTTTAAAGCACAGCACCATGTGGCAGGTTCACTGCTGCTGCTTCACCGCCAGTTCAATCCACGACCAAGGAGGTGACCCACTTGGTGCCGCAGACCTCTGCTGACTTGCCTGCTCCCTCAGCAGTGTACTTTGTAGATCTGCCTGTTCTGCTCCTCTCTATGCCTCTGGTGAATCCTCTCACCACCCCTGTACCTCTGGCCTGTACCCCAGTTCTGTATACATAAATCTTTAAAAATAATATAAATTGTAGCTCTTCCACTTAATGTTACTAAGACCTTAGATGAATATTAACTGTGTTTGTGGCTCTATTTCTTCATCAAATTGCAACTGTTGTTCCCCTATATACAATGAATTGTTTATTTCTGGTGTTGTCAGATTTTTTCCTTCATTTTTGCTTTTTAGCAGTTTGAGTATGATCTATCTGCTGGATGCGGTTTTCATTAATTTTATCTGTTTAAGTTTCACTAAAATCTTAAATCTTGTGTTTAGGGAGTTCCAGGCCATTTTTTTTCTTCAATTTTTTTTCTACGTTATCCTTTTTCATCTTTGGGATTTCAATGATACAAATATTGGATTTTTTAAAAAAGGTTCAAGCTGACCACAGATTTGAGGAATACAACAGGGATGGGGGTGGGAGAGGGACCAAAATGTGGGAGGAAAGAACACAGGGGACTATTATGATCCTTCACAGGTACTATGGTGGTGGGAGAACCATGGGGACTAAACTGGAGGGGAGAGATCAAATATTGTACAAAAATGAATACTGATGTAAGAAAATAATTAAATGGAAAAAAGGTTCCACATGTCATGAAGGTTATGTTCTTTTTTTATTCTCCATCCCTTTTCTGTCAATTCTTCAGACTGTATAATTTCCAGTGATTTAATTTCAAACTCAATGATACTTATCTCCTCATTTCATTCTACTATTAAATCTATCCATGTTAATTTTTATCTTGTGTATTTTCTCGGATCTATTACTTCCATTTTTAACATTTATTTATGCAAACAGAACTGGGGTACAGGCTAGAGGTGCAGGGATGTTTATGAGATTCATCAGAGACAGAGTGGGGAACAAAACAGGGAGATCGACAAAGTACACTGCTGAGGGGAGCAGCAGGCGGATCAGGAGAGGTCTGCACGCTATGTGGGTCACCTCCCTGGCTGGGGATTAAACTCGTGCTCATGCAGCTGTAGCTATTAGCTTCCTAATGCTGTGCTTTAACCTGTTGTGCCACCACGGAGGTTGTTTTTTTTTTTTTCACGTTTTTATTTTCTGGTGAGAATGCCAATCTTTCCATTCAAGAGTATCCATTCGTCTTTACCTCATATTTCATGATTCTATAGCTACTTTAAGCCTTTTGTCTGAAAAGTTCAACATTAAAACATCTCAGGGGCAGCCCTCCCTGATGGCACAACAGGTTAAAGCACAGCAATGAGAAGTTAAAACCACTTCAGCATGAGTTCAATTCCTGCCCTGAGGTGATCCACAAGGCGAGGCAGACCTCTTTCGACTGCCCACTGCTTCCCTCAGCAGTGTACTTCGTTGATCTGCCTGTTCTGCTACCGACTCCACTTCTGGTAAAGCCTCTCACTGCCCCTGCACCTCTGGCCTGTACCCCAGTTCTGTATGCACAAATAAATAAATCTTTAAAACAAAACAAAAATCTCAGGGGCCCTCCCAGGTGGCACAATGTGTTAAAGCACAGCAGTACAAGCCAGCCACAGCTGCTTCAGTTGAGTTCAATCCCTGCCACGGAGGTGCTCCACATGGCGCAGAAGATCTCTCCTGTCTTGCCCATTGCTCCCCTCAGCAGTGTCCTTTGTCAGTCTGCCTATTTTGGTCCCCATTCTGTCTCTGGTGAATTCTCTCACCCCCTGCACCTCTGGCCTGCACCCCAGCCCTTGTATGCATTAATCAATAAATCTTTTGAAAAAAAAAATTTAGGGTTTGCATTTGATTCCGCCCCCCCCCCCCCAAGAATTGGTCTGATTTTCATGGTTCACTGTATGTGGTATAACTTCAGACTCAATCTTAGATATTTTGATTATTACACATTGTTAAGATTCTGCTTTATTACAATTCTCTGGGAAAATGTACCTTTTATCTTAGTAGGTAATCAATCCAGTTATAGTCAGGAAGTTCCATCCCACTATGGGTGGGAGTTCTAATGTTAGTTTTCTCAGCTTTTCTACACTGTCCATGTACTGGCAGACAACTTATTGGTTAGTGTGGGACTTGAATGCTAGTTTAATTCACCTTCATTTGCAAAGCAATTGCCAGGTTTCTTTGACAGATCTATAAATGCACAGCTTGGAGGTAGACCAGGAATTGTGTTGATCTCAAAAATGGAAAATTTCTCTTTGACAGCTCTCTCTTTGAGATTTCTCCAATACTCTCTAGCTCCAAGGAGCCTTTTCCTTTGGTCAATAAGTTTCTCTCCATTTTAATCCCTCAGTGATGTGACTGAAGCTATCACTGGGGTGAGTATGTGAAACAGACAGAAAAGAATAATGGATTCACACTGCATTCTGTGGAATTAAGGGCCTCCTTTTACTTAGTTTCTCTGGCTATACAGATTGATTTTATCTTGAAGTTTTAGGGGCCCACACAGTAACTGTGATAATGCTGCACCATGACAGGGACTGGCTTCAGAAGAAGTCTAAAGAGGAAAAACACACAACAGTAAATGCCTTTCCACTCTATAGTTCTACGTGAGTCTGCAGAGCAGAGAGCAGAACAGGCAGATTGATGAAATACACTACTGTGGGGAGCAGCAGGCAAGACAGGAGAGGTCTGCTGTGCCATGTGGTTCAGCTCCAGGGCTGGGTATCGAACTCATGCTGAAGCCCCTGCAGTGAGCTTCATGGTGCTGCGCTTTAACCCACTGAGCCACCAAGGAGGGCCCTAAGTGAATCTTACCAGTACTCTAGTCAGAAAGACAGCAGCTCTCTTAGAATTTTTACTGTTAGTGTCTGTTTACAGATCTCACTCAAGCTACCTTATTGTTAAATACAGGAAGCAGAAAAAACAAAACAAAACAAAACAAAACCACAAACCAACAATAACTAGGAAAGTCACTGCCCTTACTAAATATTCATTAAATTTATACCTCTCTCATCAAATGCCTACTACTGTCTACTTCTCCAAGTTCTTAGGTAGGCTTATCTTTTCATTTAGGTAGAAAACATAAATGAAGTAACAGTTTTAAAATTCTGTTTGTTACATTAATGACAAGACATTAACAACTGGTAATCGATAATGGTCAACAAGTATGTAGTATTTACTACGTACCATGCACTCTTCTACTTTACATCAATTAACTCACTTTTTTTAAATCAAGGATTTAGTCTCACTTTTACAAATAAGAAAGTAGAGGCATGGAGAGTTAAGTAACTTGCCCAAGAACACACAGATTTGAGATTTAAATCCGAGCAGTTGATTCCAGATCAATCAATGTCTATCTTGTTTCTAGTATGAGAAATTATTAAGCTGACTAAAGTGATTTAGGTCAAACTAAGCCTTGGCTTCAAAAATCTCTAATTCTCATAGTCAACTAGGAAACTATATTTGAAACTATATTTCAAAGCAATAATTACTTTAAAAAATTTACAAACTCTAATAATTAAATTTCACACAGCTAAATATAAAATAATTCCAAGCAAACCTTTAGCAGGCTTCATATTATAACCTGTTATTCTGGCCAGAACGGTCTGTATCCATCGTGCCAGGGTCAAAAGTTGAGCAAGAGCTTCAGCCTTTTCACTGTAAAAGGATATTTAAAATTTATTAAAGCCACCAGCACAAAGTCAAACAGAAAAGGTGCAGTTTTCTCTGGATAAATGACTGCATATAAATGTCATAATTCTCCATATTAACCTGTTAGGTCATAGAAACATGTGTGTCTAAAAATGTAGTTTTTGGGGAGGGAGGCAAAGAAATAAGATACTATCATATACCTAAAACCTAGAAGTAATAAATGTCAGTAAATGGAAGCACCATTCTAGTTGAAGTAAAAAACTAAGTGTTATCACTGATTACCTCATATTCCACATTCTAATCTAACAGATTTTACCTTCAAAATGTACATCAAATTCATCATTTCTTTTTACCTCTACCATTACTACCCTATGTTCAACTTACATCTTCCCTCACCTAGGCTATTTAAAAAAAAAAACCATTCTGGGATCAAACACAGTGAAGGGGAGGGAAATGCACTGGACTATGGTGATGGCACATGAAGGGATTTGGTGATTTGGTGATTTGGTGATGGGAAGCCCACAGGGATTACAACTGAGATGGAAAAATGCACAAAATGATGTAAAAGTTAACATTATTAAAAAAAAAAAACAACACCTAACCATTGTTCCTGTTTCCATATGGCATTTCATTATTTATGTAGTCATAATAAAGGAGACAAGGGATCTTGAACATGTAAATAAAACCATACCATTTCCCCATTCAAAACATTGCAATGAATTCTCATCACATAACATAAAATTTTAATTTCTAATTTAGAACAAATTTTATTAGTCCTTTTGTTATCCAGCTCTGTGAGCGTTCCATTCCAAGTATGTGCCTTTTGTTGTAACTCAAACATGCCAATTGTGTTCCTACTTCAGAACCTACTACCTGTGCTTGGAATTCTCTGCTCTCAGCAACTAGTACTGCTAGTCTTTCACTTCATTCAGGTCTCAATTCAAATGTCAGGATCTCATAGATCTCATAGAGGTCGCTCCCTGAAGACTTGGCTTAGAATAACTTTATCATTGCTCTAGCTCTAGTCATCTACAACTACTGCTTTAGTTTTTTCACTGTGTGTCACATTTAACATTTTGTATTTATATGTTTACTGTTGTTTTCTCCTCTCTGGACTGCAAATTCTAGAAGAACAGGGACTTCACCTAAACTGTTACTAATAACCAAGAGGAAGCAGCAACAGTATTATTATAAAGACTTTACCTACTGAAGTTAAGACTTTACTCAGCGAAGGGACAGTCTTGAATGAAGTTAAAGATGAATGAATAATGAATTGTGCCAAAATTTATGTAACTGGACACAAATTTAACCTAATAATTTTTCAGTTATCAGAATTAAAGTGTACTAATTCTTCTCAAGTACACATGAACATTCTCAAGCAGAGAAGGTCATATGTTGGGACACAAAAGAATTTTCAAAAAATATGAAAATTGAAATTGTATCTATAAATCTTTTCTGATCACAATGTTATATAAGCTCGATACCAACCACAGGAAAATAAAAACCAAAAAGCCTAAAAATAAAACAAACATATAGAGATTAAACAAAATGCTGCTCAACAACTCTTGGGTAAATGAAGAAAACAAAGGAGACATTAAAAATTATCTGGAAATTAACAAAAATGAAAAGATAAACTACCAGATTCTAGGGGATGCAGCAAAAGTTGTATGAAGAAGGAAGTACATAATAATACAGGCCCATATCAATAAAGAAAATAAATCTCAAATAGACAATCTAACTTTTATCTGAAGGAAATAGAGTGAGCAGAACAAATGAAACCAAAAATCAGTAGAAAAGGAAAAAATATTAGAATGGAAATAAAACAGAAGTCAAAAAGACAAAGTAAAAAAAAAATTAGTAAAACCAAGAGCTGGTCCTTTGAAAGGATACACAAAATTGGTTAACCCTTAGGTAGGCTTACTAAGGGAAAAAAAAAGAGAGACAGAAAGCCCTAGTAAAAACAATCAGAAATGAAAGAAGTGAAATTATAATAGGTATTACAGAATACAAAGAATCCTAAGAGACTACTGTAAACATCTATATACAAACAAATTGGAAAACCTAGAAGAAATGGATATATTTTTGGAAACCTGTAATCTAAATTGTTAAAATGACCATATAACCTAAAACAATTTATTGATTCAACATAACTATTAAGACCCCAATGATTTTTTTTGAGGAAATAGAATAAATACTCCTAAAATATGTGTGGAACTACAAAAGACTCTGAAAAGTCAAAGCAATCATTAGAGAAAAAAAGAAAATATGGGGCATCATGCTCCCTCACTTCAAAATATACTACAAAGTGATTATTAAACAAAACAGTATGGTTTTGGAATAAAATTAGAAACACAAACCAATGGAACCCAACAGCGAGCCCAGTGAACCCACAGAAATCCTGACAGCTAATATGTGATAAAGGAAATTAAAACCATGCAATGGAGAGAGGAAAGTTTCTTCAATAAATGGTTTTAAGTAACTTGATAAGTCACATGTAAAAAAAAAAAAACTCCATACATAAAAATTAATGCGAAATGGATTAAAGACTTGTATGTAAGACCTGAAACCATAAAATATATAAAAGAAATCATAAATTATATACAGTGTGGCATTAAACTTGGAGATGTATTTAGGGCTCAACTTTAAGGGCAAGGCAAACAAGCAAACAACAAATAAATGGAACTACATTAAATCACAAAGCTTTTGAACAGTAAAAGAAATACCATAAAAACAAAAGGACAACCTACAGACAATATTTGTACATCACATGCACAAAGGATAAATTTTCAAAATACATAAAGAACTCATACAACTCAATTACAAAAAACATTCCCAAACAATCAAATAAAAAAATTGGCAAAAACCTAGAAACAGTTCTCCAAGAAGGTTCACAGATGGTCCACAGACACATGAAAAATTGCTCAACCCCTTACGATAAAGGAAATGCAAATCAAAACCACAAAGAGGTATCACCTTACCACTGATAAAGGCCTATATCAAAAAGACTGAAAACAATAATGGTTGGGAAGAATGTGGAGAAAAAAAAATACTCATTCACTGAAAAAGGAAATATAGTAGCATCCAGCACTAATATGTCCAGGTATTTTACCTAGATACTATGAAATCATTAAATTAAAAGAAAAAAAAAGATTTATGGATTCACAGTATTAGTAGTAGTATTCACAATAGTCAAGATAAGAAATATCGATAGGTGACTGGATAAAGAAATTGTGCAATATATAGTCAATGGAATATTACTCAATTCTTGAAAAAAGGTAAAGTGCCTTTTGGGACAAAATGGATGGATGCTGAGGTGATTATGCTAAGTGACATAAATCAGAAAATGATGGCTGCACACTAATTAGTGGAATAAAACCAAAGAAAACAAATTGATAAAACAAAATAAAAATAACTTTTAGATTCTATGAAAAATGTGGTTACCAGAGGAAGTAAGGGAAAAAATATGACAGGATCTTAGCACTAGAGCTTTGGTAGTAGGTGAATGAAGTATTTACACATGTTGAAGACTGAAGCTATAATTAAAAAATTATATAGGTATGTAATTTAAATGAATATCAGTTAAATTAAAAAATGAACGTTCACCTGGAAAAAAAATGAAAGTGCACTATGACTGGTTATGACCAATTTTCTTTAAAAATGCTAGTTTTTCTAAAGTTTTTAATACGCTCTTAACTTTAATGTCTTACATTATATCCATGTTGATTCCCTAAGAACAAAAGAGGGAAATACACTCAACTATACAAGTTTAATAGTGCCTAGTAAACATTGGGCCTCCCTGATGGCACAAGGGTTAAAGACAGCACCATCAAGCTACTGCCAGCCACTGCAAGCAAGAGTTCGATCCCTGGCCAGCCAGGGATCTGACCCATGTGGTACAGCAGACCTCTCTTGCCTTGCCTGCTGCTCCCCTCAGCAGTCTGTTTCAGTAGATTGGCCTGTTCTGTTCCCTGCTCTCTCTGGTGAGTACTCTCACCCCCTGTACTTCTGGCTTATAGCCCCAGTTCATGTATTAAACATTACATGGATCATGGATCCCAGATCCTAAGTAACAAAATTGCTATTCTGTATTGTAATTATAACAGGATTCAAAGAGACCCAGTTGTAAGGACAGTCTAACTTTAGAGCAGACTATCTTAAAGAATCTGAATTTTCAGATTTTTCCTTCAGAATTTTCCTTCAGAAAACAATTTACATGTTTATAAATTTTTATTTGGTGAACCCTGAAGACCTATACCAACTAACAAGAAGTTGAAAAGTTACTTCATTATTATTTTAATGCTTGCCACCATGCATACAGTTAGGTAAAGCTCTGGAGTCAGGTCTCTGTTCAAATTGTCAGTATGTCTTGAAACAAGTGAAAACTACATGAATGGGCTGCTGAGAGTTCAATGGCACAGCTTCAAAATGGATGCAAAATTCCAAGACAGATCCATTCAGAACTGTGGCTCCAACTCCCAGTCTCGGAATGTAAGACTAACAGTACCTACTTTATTAGACTAATCCGAAACATGCATTTTAAAAAATATTTATTTATTTATGCATAGAAGAACTGGGGTATAAGCCAGAGGTGCAGAGGGAACAGAGGATTCACTAGAGACGAAGTGAGGAGCAGAACAGGTGGATTCACTGAAATACATGGCAGGGCAAGACAGAAGTCTGCTATGCCATGTGGGTCAGTATCCTGGCTGGGGATCAAATTCAGGATGCATTGGTGACAGTACTGAGCTTAACCTCTTGGCCATCATGGAGACCCTAGAACATATTAGGTACTCAAAAATTAAAGATAACTCTTTGTGATGTAAACTTCTTAAAAAGATGAAATTTTATGTCCTAATAGACAAAACAGAAGACAATTTCCAAATTCAGTTTCCTGATGACATGAAATAGCAGACCTAGAGCAATTATTTACTGACCCTGCTTGCCAAACCTATCACCTTTTAATTTTTATTTTTAATGGAACACGTTAAATGTTTCATTAACAAACCATTTTCTTTAGCAAAGTGTAGGTATATTACTACCATTCATTGAGTTTTAATGAAACTGAAATTATAGTCATAAATATACTGTCTTCATATATAAAGAGAGAATATATAAACAATTAAAATTTCTAGTTGTCATTAGACAAATGTGAATTTCCTATTAAATATTTTTTACAAGTGGTCACAATATAAAAGCTGAAATATTTAGCCTAAAAGTTCAAAACTATCCAAAGATATATCATAAATCTAATATTTTCTTTACTTTTATAGCTAACATTTTATCCATTTCTCTAAAACTACAACATTTAGATCTTCTGAACAATAGAATACAAAAATAACAAGAAAGAAATTTAGAGGAACCAAAGTCCAAACAGCAACTCTAATGCTGGTAAAACACTATATTGAAGGAATAAATATTCTTTACACCTTCTTCTTCAGTGAATGCTAAGATAAAGATCAAAGTCCTATTGCTTTAATGGTTGTTGGAAGGTATTCAGAAAACATACTTTTGAGTAAATTCATATTCAATTCTCTAAAGGACCAAAAAGCGAAGCTTTTAAAATATTTTAATGCAGAATATAAGGTGCAGGATGAAAAATTATTATTACACTAGCAAGGAAGAAACTTGTCAGTCTAATCAATACAGGCACAAATGAAAAGATTAAAGATGCTTTAAAAAATTCACCAATATTTAAATTAAAATATACCTGTTTATCTTTTGAGGTTGCAGAGGAATAATAGGGATCACAGTATTGCACAGAGACTTGCAAAGAGGGCAAAGATATTCTCCACTTTCCAAGTCAAAAAGGTCTACATGAATGCGCTGCTGAGAGCTCAACTGTACAGCTTCAAAATATCTGCAAAATTCCAAAACATAGGTTTGTTTAAAACTATACAATATGGCTTTGCTCTAATCCAAGTAGGAAAAAATTGAAATTTCTGCCTTACAAAATTTTTAGAATTTACATGCAAAAATACAAAAGCTGTACTACAGAAGAAAGAGGATGCCCATTTTTTTTAGAGGCAAGCAAAAAGACCTGTAAGGGAAGAAACAAATTTAAAATAATTTTACTGAATCAGACTTGTCCCCTGCCTCACCATCATAGAAATACAGTGCAGACACTAGTACCCCAAGTGGTTAATGGTCAATTATATTAATAAGTGCTATTATAGGGAAATTGTGTGTTTTAATGCAGTGTCAAAAGACTAATAAACCCCACACTGAAAACATTCCCCAGAAATTTTGTTTCTGAATTTTTCTTTCTTCCAAAGTTATAACTGGAACCTACTCTCTTGACACTTTTCACTATTTTGAGGGGAATGAGATTTTTATCGATGACTACTTCTTTTACACAAATACTATAATTAGTGTGTAGAGAGCAATTACAAAGGAAAGGTAAAAATTTTAGGTTGATAAATTTCCACATCAATTTTTAAGGGTGATAACAGAATGGGTATCATGCAAACAGAATTGAAACGGCTTCAATTATTCAATTAAGAAGGAAAGAAAACATGAAAAACATGCCTTTTTGTGGCCTTTAGTAAATTTCAACATTCCTAATTTCTTTCAAGAACATGTCAAAAGGACAACTTACTTTTGCCAGCACACTGCATGCATTACATGGCCACAGCTTCCTGTGTAAGTTCCGTATGCCAAGTCCGGATCCATAAAAAGTGGGTCCAGGGTTTCTAGTACAAAAAAGACAAAAATAAGATATTATTCATCTCTTTGACAGTCATGAAAAGGAAAATGGCTATGAGGTCTTAAACTTTCTTAGGAATGTCCAAGAAAAGTGTCACATCTAATAGGATGTTTACTCTTAGCATAAATAAAAGAAGGAATATATAAAGCTAGATCTACAGGCATGATTCTAAAATTATGATTTAATGACATTTTTTTTTTTTTAGATTTTTTTATTTGTGCATACAGAGCTGGGGTACAGGCCAGAGGCTCAGGGGTGGTGAGAGGCTTCACCAGAGACAGAGTGGGGAGCAGAACAGGCAGATCAACGAAGTACACTGCTGAGGGGAGCAGCGGGCGGGTCAGGAGAGGTCTGCTGCGCCATGTGGTCACCTCCAGGGCAGGCGGGAATCGAACTCATGCTGAAGCGGCTCTAGATTCTCAGCGCTGTGCTTTAACCCGCTGCGCCACCAGGGAGGGCCTAATGACATATTTTTTATCTGCACATCAGACTTAAGTTACATTACCTTGGCTGCTGAAGTGATTTTCTCTAATTCAATCATAATTCACTTTTGTAATTTTAAGAGTAAAGTCACTGAGTTAGTTTAAGTAGTACTTATCACTGTTATAAGCTAGTGTATTAAAGCAAAGACTCAAATTCTAGTTTCATCATTTATAACTGCCCTTGGGCAGTTATCCAGCTTCTCTGTGCCTTAGTTCCTTCAGCTGTAAAATGGAGCCAATACCAGTAGCCTAACTCATAGAGTTGTTATAAGGAGTGAGTAAACACAGAAGATATGCAATCAAACCCTGGTGCACGGTAAGTATTTAACAAATGCTAGCTTTTAAAATCATTATCATTCCAAGGTATTTTAAAAATAAGCGGTTAACTCCTGACATCATGCAAGAAGTGTACTATATTACCTAATTAGTATTCTTACCAATAAAGTTTAACATGAATCTAATCATGAGACAACAATTTAGACAGATACACAATTTGAGACACTGTACAGGGCAAGTGGCCTGTATTCTTCAAAAAAGTTATTATCCTAAAAAGCAGGTGACTATTCCATATTAAAATAGACTAAAAGAGACATAAAAAGTGCAATGCATGAAATATGTCTGAATGCTAAACAAAAAAAGAAAAGTCTAGCAAAAAAAAGACATTTGGAGCAGTGGGAGAATCTGAGAATGGGGTTTATCTTAAGCAATATTCCCCAATTATTATTAATTTTCTTAAATATGATAATGTTATGATAAATATAAGATAGTTTTTAGTTTTAGAAAATGTTTTAAATCATTCAGTAAAGAGAAATAGAGATAGGGAGACAGAGACAAAGCAAAACTTGAAATTTAATAAAGGAGCCAAAATGGCAAGTAAAAACCTGTAGTTCATTTTACATACATGTAAATTGCGATCTGATCAAATAAGACTAAATATAATCTCACCCTTAAACTTCTTTCAACTACTTTTTAAAAATTTTTGTAAATATGGAAAAAAATGCTCAAAAGGATATTCAATAAACAATACATACCCCCTGAGAGTTCTATGGGTTTCCCCCTGTGCTGTGTTAAGGCGGTGGATTTCTGGACACAGGCCGATAATACCATGGCATTGTTTTCTATTTTCACCTCTTGTTCTTCTTGGCAGAGGATGCACGTCAGTACCTCCTTTTCAGTAACAGATGGACCCCGTTTAGGACCCAAAGCAATTCTAGAGTAGTCACTGACTGCTGGGGTGCTACCAAGAGAAATGACCAGAAATGAGGACACGTTTTGGTCACTTGCTTTAGAGTTTAAGAGACCATATGGTATGAACTTTGAGAATTAAAAAAAAAAAAAAAAAGATATTTAAACATTAACTTAAAATACTTGCTATGACTATGGCTTTTATCAGGTAACTTGCTTATGAGAAAATACATTTGCTATTGCTCAGTAAAAAAAAAAAGTCAGATCACAAAGCAGAGTGTGTATTATAATTATATTTAATTCATTTCTTATACCAAGAAGCTCGGAATTATCTTTTTTTCTGATTATAAAGCTAATATAAAATTATAAAGAAATGTTGGAAAATCTAGAACCATAAAGAAAGAAAAAAAAGCATTATAATTTCAGAGCCTAGAAATAACTACTAGTATATTTCCTCCTACTCTATTTTCTATTTTTAACATTTTAAACATAATTAAAATCATATCACACATACAGATAGGCATCAGGCTTTATTTATCTTATTTTCTCATATTAAAATTTATTCAGAAACATTTAAAATATCTATACAATACTGTATGTGCCATAATACTTTTATATATTCCTTCTTACTAGACATTTAACTCTCTATTCTATTTTGGTAGTTATTAAAATAAAAGACTTATACCTTAGCAATTTAGTAATTCTTAGGATCTACTCAATTTGTACAATAATAAAAGTATAATAGCAAGTATTTATAAAGCACTAATTGTGACATGAGACAGTGTTATAAATACTTCACATTATGTTAAATCATTTAGTCCTTTTAAGCATCCTATGAAATAGGTACTGTTATTACCTCCATTTTTCAAATGAAGAAACTGAGACTTAGACACACTAAGAGATGTACCTAATGACTCATCACTAATAAGTAGCAGAGCCAGGATTTAATTCAAGTGATGTGTGGTTTCACAGCTACCCTCTGAACTAGTCTGCAACACTGCCTTTCTGTCCATGCTAAAAATTCCCTGAAACGTAGTATATCATCCCACAAATTTTAAGAAACTTAAATGTTCATCATCATTAGTACAGATGAAGTTGTTGAAAGGTGGGCACTGAGTAATGTGGGGGAGGGGGAGAATTTACTTTCTGATTATTTGAGGACTAGGGAATGCTACTGGACTTTAGTGGATGAGGAGTCGGAGATGCTAAATGTCATACAGTTCCTGGGGCATAAAAAATGACTGCTGCCCAAATTCCAGGACTAAGAAAAATGAGCTTGTTTTAGAGGTACAAACTAAATATAAGGAAGTTGCATTATGATACATAATAACATTTATGCAAAGAAAACAAAGGCTAAGGACACAGCCATGCACTACATAATGACATTTCAATCAACAATGGACTGCATCTACAAAGATGGTCTCAATAGATGGTGGTCCCAATACAATAGAAGTGTATAGGAGGCAATATGCCTTAAGTTTTATAAATAAATATACTTTATGACACTGAAAGGAAAAATCACCCATTGATGCATTTCTCAGCATCTATGTCAACCATTAAGTGCTGCATGGCTGTATGTAATTTCTGTGGTTATATATATTTGTATGTAATAAATAGCATTATAAAAATTCAGAGGTGATATACATAAAAATGGTAGCGTATCCTTAAGGAAGGGCAAAAGGGGACCAGGATTTAGGACAATGCTAAATAGAACTTAGGTTACCTTTTACATTTGATTTTTTAAAGGAAATTGTCTTAATATGTAATTAAAATTTTGTTATTAAAAATATACTTGTAACTTTGGGACAGGAAAAGTCTTCTTAAACAAAATAGAGAAAGTTAAAACTCTAAGACTGTCTTTCTCAACACAGAAATTGTGTCTATGGCTAACCTTCTTCATTAACACTAAATAAACAGGAGTAAAATATGGGCAACATGCAACATAGTATTCGTAATTTTAAAGGATGTCTACAGATTAATGACAAGAGCAAAACACTGACTAGACATGAATAATTAAATAAGTTAATATGTAACTACCAAATGTAACAGGCTAGTGAACAATCATAAAAGGATGTTCAACCTGAAGCCCTCCCTGGTGGCGCAATGAGTTAAAAGCAGAGCACTATGAAGCTAGCTGCAACCTCTTCCCAGGCCAGGGAGGTGCCCCACATGGCACCACAGACTTCTCCTGCCTCACCTGCTGCTCCTCTTAGCAGTGTATTCAACAGTCGGCCTGTTCTGCTCCCCACTCTGTCTCTAGTGAATCCTCTCACCACCTCTGGCCTGTACCCCAGGTCTGAATGTATAAATAAATTTTAGAGAAAAAAATGTTAAATCTAGAATTAGCTAATATTCAGGAAAATTCAGACTGGCAAAAATTTATAATTTTGATTATACATTTTCAAATACTTCGTATTAAATACTGGTGAGAATGAAAGAAATAGGAACTCTTAAACACTGTTGGGAGTAAAAACTGGTAGTTATTTTGGAGGGCAATGTAAGTGTGTCTATTAAAATTTTAGGTAATTATAATCTAAGCCTTTCACTAACTAGATTCTGTAGTAGGTTCCCCTCCATTTTGCAACAGTAAAACTTCCCTCATTTTCTTGAGAAGCAGTACCACTGTACCCCAGTGGTCCTGCTTCCTAAAGTACTTCTTCAAAAGATAAAAAGGACACTAACAGCAGTCACAAGTGACAACTGTCCAGAAAATAAGTGAAGGGCAATCTAGACTTTAAATTGTATTGCCACACCAATTCTTCTATTTTCCTTTAATTTTTACCAACTCTTTCCCACTCCTCCACTAATAGATGGATCCCTTGAAAAATTCTACCAGGAGACTTCTCCTAACAGATACCTACTTACTGCTACCCAAAGGGAATAAGCCTTTATCTAGAGGAAGAATACTGCTATATAACCATAGTGGACAGGTAATGTCCATTTTAAGAAAACTCCAAGAACAAGCCACCAGACTTAAGGAAATGTCTTTCTCCAGGGAAGGGGGATATCCCAGGGGACCCTAGTGGCTATATTTTTCACTCTCCTCTTTGGAATTTGCATATTTAAATTACATTGTTAAAGATTTCTCCTTAATTAGAGACCATTAAACTCCAACCACTCCTCCAAGACTGTCTGTTGGCACAAACAACCCATCTTTTGGAGTCTGCCTATACTTCCTTCTAGAACCAACAGGAGCAATTGGTTCAAGCACTAGTAAAGGGAGACCAGGCCCTTTAAATAGGGGTGGCCCTATATGTCACCATCCTGAAGTAATTATGGAAGACTGAATTACCTCTTTCAATTCCCCAAAAGATTTTGGGCTGGTTATGGTATAAATGAGATTGGGGAGGGGTGCTGTGAAGGGGTTGCTAGAAGCTTAGAGTAGAAAATTTAGGATAGAAGTTTTACAAGGCCAGGAATTAAAGGTGAGGGAAGTAAGGATTATCAATCATTACAAAGAAAAAATCAACCCAGCCAGAACCCAAAGTGAAAAATTCTACAAATAAATGAATTCTATTAAAGAACAGTACATAAAAACACCCTGTGCTCTGGCAAAGTCTTGCCCTTTAAATTTGCTTGTTTTTATGAGGCTCTGCCAAATCCATTCTCTGAGTGACCCAAGAGCCCCACTCACCAAATCCCAAAAGATTCTACCCTTGAGAAACACTTGTATAACTGAACAAAGGGGCACAGACAAAAATCTTCTGACACATCATTTGTAATAAGGGAAAAACAAGGAAAATGTCTAAAAAATACAAGTCTCATTATTTATGTATATATTTATAAGTGCACAGAAAAAGGTTATGATAGTAATTATTTGTAACAATGGTTATCAATGATGGAAGATAGGAATGTACTACATTCTAACACAACAGGCCTTAATTTTCTGGGTATATTTTATATACATATGCTCTTGTCTTACTAAATAGAGGTCTCTTTTTCATTACTCTCTAAAAAGTAAGTTCATGTGTAACACATAATACTTAGAGGGCTGAGAATTCTCTTATTGTTTAAAGTTTTGCACTAATTTTTTGAATATTTCTATAGCCAACCAAGGATTGCTTACCTTTGTATCTTTTTTTTTTCTTTAAAATATAGTTTTTATTTTCTGAGGTCCTTGTTAACATGACTCAGATTCAGGATTACAGACCCATTTACAATGTGTCTACTATTATTGCAAAAGGACGATCTCTTAAAGTATCCACAATTCACACTGTTTCAAACAGTAGTGGAAGTTTGTTGCATAATGGAATATATTTGAAAGTATTACTTCTTTGCCTCCCTCCTCCCTTTTCTCACTGTATCTAAATAACTTTCCACAAAGCTTGGCTCCCAGAAGGTTAACTGATTTCTGAAGAGCACACCAAAGTCAAGTCTCAGAAAACCAGATTCACTAATTCCCATTTCACTGTACTATCCATGACAATAACTATAAGCATTGTCTGCTTTGTCTTTAAGAAAAAACGAAAAACTAATATAAGGTCATCTTTTTCTTTTCTTTATTTTTTTAAAAAGATTTATATATGCTTACAGAACTGGGGTACAGGTGAGAAGATTCACCAGAGACAGAGTGGGGAGCAGAACAGGCAGATGTACTGCAATACAATGCTGAGGGGAGCAGTGGGCAGGTCAGGAGAGGTCTGCTGAGCCATGTGTGTCAGCTCCCTGGCAGGGGGTTGAGCTCCTGCCGAGTGGCTTCCGAGAGCTTCATAATGCAGTGCCTTAACCTATTGCGCCACCAGGGAGAGCCCATAAGGTCATCTTTTTCATTTTGTAATAACATTTTATCAGAAATATAAATGATATGGAATTTGTAAATCCATATATAGGTATTTATCTAAAAAAAGCCCCAACACAGAAGAAAACAGGAGATGATTTCTACTTTTATGATTCCCGTTTTCACACCTTTTTTGTGAATAAAGGCCCCTAACAGAACCTTACCACACATTTAAACTGTTTATCAACATAAAATTACATTCAACAAATACCTTAAACCCTTCAAGTGCCCTTTCTAGCTTAAATATGGTGTCATCTCTCTAACTACGAAATATATTTTGGAAAAATCTGAGTATGTAATTTTTCTTTCAAAAAACTGAGTTGCTAATTTGTTTTTACCTCTCTTCCTCCATAATGGAATCTTCTTTGCCAGACATTTCGGATGTATTGTCATACATGAGTTTGTGAGTTTCAATGAAGTTTTTCTGTAAGGCAGACATCTGAGCCATGATCTTCTGGCGATGAAGTCTAGCAGCTTCAGCTTTCCTTTTTCGTTCTGCTTTTTCTTTATCATGTGTAATCTTGATATTATGAAGCCACAAGAATTAGGAGGATTTACTGTCAAAATTTACTGCTATGCAAAACTTCCCAGAATAAAGATTCGATAATACTTGATTACCCCTTATACTTAAGATTCAATTTAATGTCTCAAAATTAGCATGCAGGCTCTATCACATAACACTATTTTGTTCTTTGGGCTATTTCAATAATTTAACATAAAAGGCCAAGTACCTTAACTATCTTCTAATTGCCTTTTATACTCAATGGCATTAGAGTAAAAAAGTGAAAGAAAATTTTAAAATCATTTGTCAGTCATTTTTAAGCACTGATATTTAACCAATTTAAGTCAACTTAATGATTTATCTATTTAACTGATAGTTATTCCTAAATACACTGGTAAGACTGAAAACTTTAACAATCTTACTGAGGTTGTGCCTTTTTTTAAAAAAAAATTTTAAATATTTTTATTTTTTGTGTATAAGAACTAGGGTGTAGAAGAGATCACTGATTTAAGACATATTCCAAATTTAAATAGCCAAATATTTAAAAATTAGTAAGATATGTTTAAAATGTGCTATTTCTAATACAGCTCCATTGTAAATGCTTTTGTAATCATACTGGATAACTGTGTAGCAAGTACTACTAGTATCTGTGATATAAAACACAACAAGCAAAAGAAGATGAGTATCTCATATATTTTACCACAGGTTCCTTCTAACAAAAAGAAACAGCTCCCTTTTAACAGAAAAGTTTAAAGACAGAGATGAATATCACCAATATTATGATATATACCTCATCATTCCTGATAGAGTCTGATCCTGATGTAGTTGCTACAATTAAACAAGATTTTTCTCTTAATCGCTTTACTGTGTCAAACATCTGAACAACAGAAAAAATATTAAAAGATATGATTAGATTAACCAGGAACAGAAAATTTACTAATCTCATTTGTCATCATGTCTCTAAATGTCTTTGATTTAAACTTCAATATGTATTAAGTGACTTCTGACTGTAATAAACACCTCTCATAGTCAGTTAGAAATCCAAATGAAGAAGAGATTGTGCGTAGCAAAATTAGCTGATTTGGTCTACAGCTATAAACAACATCTGATTTTTACAGCATAGAAGTTTTTAAAACTTAAAACATTTTTAGTGCAAAAACATATAAAGACAAAGATACAAATAAAAAAGTACAATTTCCTCTTCCTGATGCCAGTCCCTCTCCCCAAAATCAACTAAAATATTTCTATCCATGAAAAATATTACTGGAATACACATTTCTTTATATTTACACATATTCTCATTAAAAGCACTCCTACTAAGATACTGTGTCACATCTTCCTCCACCTAACCATTTATCATTGAAAATGTTTTCACATTAGCTTATACAGTTGGATCTTACTCTTTCTAATACCTATCAAAGTTTCAGTAATAGAAATTTTCACATAACTTAGTTACATCTTGAAGTTGCCTTAGTCTCCTATATGGAAAAACCTCCCACAAAAAACTTACAATATAACTTTACATTAGTCACTTGGGTAAAATACCTAAAATTTGTAAGAACAGATACTTAAGTTTTGTATATTTTGACAGTAAATTTTGGTTTTCCAATAAAAACTGAATTTTATGTGTAGATTTCCAATTTATAGATCTCCACTATGTCTACAAGATATAAATGTTGGAATAAATGAGTTTAAAATTTATCTTCTTAATAATTGTAGAATATTATCTACTTCTTTTGTCTTGTTTTATATTTTTTAATGATTATATTGGTAAACTTAACACAAATACTAAAATATTTATGAAATCTACTTCAAAAAAAATCTTAATAACATCATTTTACAGTTACATGTTCAATTATATCGAGCTTGCTCAAAGAACATAAGTAGTAAAATGGGCTGACTTCTCAAAGCAGTAACAGTGCAAAAACATCCAACTAATATGAATGTGGAAAATAACCACATACATTCTAATTGTCAACCCAGTATTTAGTTAATAAACTCAAAATACTTTTTAATAATAAAAAAAATCTTGATATTTTCTTGTTTATTATCTGTACCTCAACTAAAATGTATGCCCCATGATAACAAGCATCTTGTCTACTTGTTCAGAGTTTAGAGTTGACCATGGCAGATAGTAGACATTCAATACATATTGAATGAATAAGATGCCATTAATAAACCTTAATTCATTAAAAAGAGCCTTTACAAAAACATAGGAAATATAGAATTATTAACATGAAAAAACATGAGTGCTCATGAAAATGAGCAGTAAATAACTTTATAATTGAAAAATACAGGTAAGGGGAGGACTCTTAAATACTTAAATCAAGGTACAGTTTATTTTATAGGTTTACCTGAAGTATCCATGTTATCATGTCCTTTTGGCCCTCTAACTGGGGGATTCCTTTGAGTTTTTCCAAAAGCATTTGTATATTCTGAGCATTCATGGCTGAACTTCCCAATCCTGTTTTAAAACACAAATATTACATTTTCATAAATAGATATGTATCTTCAAAATGAACAATTATACAGAAAATGTTATTCATGTTGATAACCTAAGTTTACCAATTTCTTACCTATAATATCATTTCAAAGTAAGAACTATAAATACTAAAAAAACCTTGAAAAACCTGAATTACTTTAGGTTTTTCCCCTATATCCTCCTCTAGTGCTGCTAACTACCCTTAGTGATTTGTCTCTTGCTTTTCCTCTACTTGATTCAATGTCTAGTAAAAGTATTTAATAAGAACCAAAACTCTCCAAAATATTTAAGTGGGAGCTGTTACAGTCATAAACTAAATAGGTTTATGATGTCCCTCAAGCATTATAGTGTACAAATAGAAAATGAGAAGTTTTTCACTTTATGGTCTTAATGTTCCTGGAATGTGCTTTAAAAAAAAATTAATCATGCAGCCTTTAATAAAAATCTAATCTAAACCTATTCTTTCAAGTTAAAAACAGATGTGAAACAAACACATTACCATTCATTCACACTTCTACAATAATTTAAAATTCAAGAACATTAATTCTTCTGAATGGTTTGTATGAATGTCAGTTGATACAGCAGCAAGTATTTGGTAATGTTGAGATTAGGAATGAAAATAAGAAACCATCAATGTACATTGCATCAATAAGAAGGCTGTAGTAAAGCTAGAGTAATCAAAACAGTATTATACCAGAACAAACACAGACATACAGACAAATGGAATAGAACTCAAAGTCTAGAAATAAACCCACACATCTATGGACAGTTAATCTATGACAAAGGAGTATATTCTGGAGTATACTTTCTTGAATATTTTGTGGGGATAGTCCTTTCTGGATGGTCTTTCTTACAAACACACACACACACACACACACACACACACACACACACTGGAATACTACTTAGCTATATATAAAAAATTAACTCTTGCCTTTTGCAAAAACATGGATGGAATTGTAGAGCATAAGACTAAGTGATATAGGTCAGAAGAAGGAAAGACGAATACTGGATAGTCTCTCTTATAAGAGGACTATAGAGAAACAAAACTAAGGATCAGACAAAACCAATCCAATAAGAAAATCTTGACATCTGATTACAAAATTGAGGCATCCAGAAGGAGAAGGCAGTGATATGGGGGTAGGTGAAGAAAGGGACTTAACAGAACATGGTGGAGTGTTACTAGGGCACTAATGGTGGGCATCGTGTGAAACTATACATCTGTAGAATCTGAACTTATGACTCTTCAAAGTAGATACAAGTTTATTTCAATAAAGATAATTGGGGGGAGAAAGCTTTAATAGGTTATTTAAAAAAAATAAAAATATATTTCTCTTATTTAAAATATTAGTTAAAAACTAAAGGTGGGGTAAATTTTTCAGAATTTTGTTTTAAGGATTGACAGATTAAAACTCTGTAAGATCAAAACTTTCAATTATGAAGTAGTAATTAGCTGAAACTGTGCTAAAAATGATACTAAAACGTACTTGAAGCCTTATGGTAAAAGTCAAATGTCACTTCTTCTTCAGGAGCTTTTTGAAGCTGTTGCTTCTCTTCTAGTAAGCCTAATGCAAGAATATGAAATGCCTGAAGGGAGAAAATATGAGAAGATCTTTTAAATTGTACTTCTTCAAATAAACGTATTTTAAAAGAAGGTATAAAAATAAGCAATCTGATAAGTAAAAAATGGGCAAAGGTTATGAACAAGCAGTTCACAGAAAGATAATGAATAAATATACACATGGAAAATGTTCAACCTCACTTAAAGAAAGGTGATCTGACACAAGATCATCACGTTTTTCATCTATCAGAGTGGCAAAAGCTTTACAGTTTAGCAAAACAGAGATGGCAAAGGTGTCGGGAAACATGCACTTTTAAACCACATTTGTGATGGGAGAGTAAAATCAGTGTATCATTTTTGGAAGTTAATTTGACAACACTTCTCAAAAATTTAAAGATACAGACCTAGTATTAGGAATTAATAAAACAGATACACTCACTTAAATATGCAAAGATATTTGTACAAGGATGTTCATTTTAGTGTTTATAAACAAAAACCTTTGAAAACCTTGAATATCTATTAATAGGAGATGGACTAAATGCATTGTAGATAGCCATAGATAATGAGCTATGTAGATAACAAAAATGAGGTAAGCCTATATATGCTAATGTGGAATGATTTCCAGAAGATAACACCTTTCACAGTGTTTATGTCCTAAGTAGGGCACAGGGTGGCAGGGAGAGAAATTTTAACTTTTGATTTTAAATATATCTCTATGGTTTGAAATGTTCAACTGTGTGTAGTATGTACCATGGTCATAACAAATTAAGATATACACAAAGTGTAACAACATTTAGAGCCTCTAGACCAACAACAGTTAAGGGAAAAAAAGAAATTTAGTTAGGTACGTGCTAAACAGATATCGTTACATAATACATAAGACAATAATGCCAAGGGTGGCATTATTAAGTAATTTATCTGTAACAGTATCAAGTATAAAACAGCAGCTTCTACTAAACGAGCTCATTTATAACATTCTATGATATAATATATTTATAGCCATTTTACCAATGAGGAAATTGTTCTTTGCTCCTAAAATGGAAAGTACGGTAACCCAGTATTTAAGCTCAAATTGGCCTGTCTTCAGATCTTTGTTATATTGTCTCCTCACAATACAAGTAAAACATAGAATACTTGGATGCAGTAAGCCATGCCAATTTATTAACAGAAACAGGACTTTTTTGTTAGTTTTTAAATATAAATCATTCCTAAGAATAAGGAGGCTAAAAAACATGAGACGGTGTCACTAAGAAAACTGATGCCATCTGTACACTATTTTCAAGACCTTTAGGTCTATGTCTCTAACTGAAATTAGAAAGTTGAATCAAAGAGCTACTCCAGATTTCCAAGAACTCTACAGATCAAAATACAAAGAAATGTTTTAGATCTACATACCATCTGGAGCATCCCTTCAGTCCACAAGTTAGAGTCTGTGTCTATCGCCCGCTCAAATATGGTCCTGAGAATGTACATCATGATATCACAATTGAGAAGATTAATCACTTTGCTGAAAGCAGGGCAGAATTCAGGAGGTGGTGGTGGTGGTAATGCTATAATGTGTGGGAAATGGATGGTAGAAGAGACAAAAAGGTGTATTTTTATTTGAGTTATCCTACATGCTAAGTCGAAAATGTCAAAATAATGGACTAGATACAAAATACTATGTAATATCCTTTACCTTTAAAGCAAGGAAAACATTAATGTCTAGAGAAATAGTTTCACTTTATCAGTCACCCAAAATAAACTCCATTTGCTAAAAAAATTTTTTTTGCACTACTGATCTAGGCCATATTATAATATGCAATCAAATTTTGCATTTCTATTAACTACCCACTCTCAAAAAACAAGAACAAAAAGCAAGGCACTATATACTTCACTGACACAAAACCACAAAAAATAACCAAAATGAGTCAATTCTGAATCTCACTTTTTACCTTCATCTTTGTTTTCTTGTTTTCTCCTTTTCTTCTGCATATGCTCAGCCTATATTATTTTAAAAAAAAAAAAACAGTCTCAAAATATGCTTCTTGACAAGCATGAAACAAATTGAATACTTTGATGCATTCAGGAATGATCTACCAAGAAACAAGATACTTCCCATATTGAAATATATACTCAAAATGCTACATTGTCCCATAAACAAAATGACTGTCCTATGGAAGATCACTGCAAAACAGACTGGTTATAGCCCTTATCTAGAATAGTCTTTATTCATTCGGTCAACCATATTTACCTAGCAGTGGCTGTTATATACAGAGTATGTCCTTGTTTTATAAGGACAAAGGTAGATACCACTTGATAAAATTTATATGATCAAACATTATGACATTTTTATGCCTACTGATACAATGCAATATATCATCTAGTCAGTATTGCTTCTCAACAATGTTTAACTTAATTAGGAGACTACAATTAGATACATCCAGAATATAGGATATGCTAAAAGACATCTACCCTGTATTTTATGAAAATGTTATGAAATAAAGAAAAATATACTAAATTAAAGGCAGCTATAAAAATATAAACCAAATGAAATGCTTGTCTGAATCCTCCTTCTCTAAGCTAAAGGATATTTTCTGTATAAGCAGAATCTGAATATTGCCTATAAACTGAATAATAACTGTTGACTCAGTTTTAATTTCTTGAGCAAGTTAATGGCCTCTATTTTAATGAGAATATAAAAACTACAGGAAAATCAGGAATTTTTTTCTGTGGAGTTAGAAAGCATAAAGCATTTTTATTTTGTTTACAGAGGATACCTTTTCATACCTTGCTATGCTGTGTTTTGGAGTAATGATAAAAGTACATATTGAAGTCTTTCAATGATTCTTCTTTCAGTTCATAAACTCCATGACCTGAGACACCTGGCTTCCTAAATAGACAGAAAATACAGAAATGAAATGCAGTGTTCTTCAAGTACAGAACATATTAAGAATCTTAAAATTAATCTAGTCGGCCCTCCCTGGTAGTACAGCAGGTTAAAGCACAGCACTAAAAAGCTAAAGCCACTTCATGGCACGGCAGACCTCTCCAGACCCGCCAGACGCTCCCTTCAGTAGTGTACTTCATTGATTTGACTGTTCTGCACCTCACTTTGTCTCTGGTGAATCCTCTCACCACCCCTGCACCTCTGGCTTGTACCCCAGCTCTGTATGCATAGATAAATAAATCTTAAAAAAAATTAATCTAGTCAACATCTAGAGGAGGAAAACAAAATCACATCTCATTCAGCTTGCTTAAAATGGGACAAATTTCATTCCAACATTAGAACTAAGCACCCACATTTTAAGTTTAAAGTCCTAATAACAGCTAAGTTGTGTCCCATAACCATGAAATTAAAAATAAAATTCGAGGAAGTTTATATCATAGAAACCTAATTCCATGCACTACTTAAACCCTTGATGCTTCTTTTAGTTTCTTAAGTAAAAGATTGCTTGTTCAACTAAAGCATACTGTGTTGTTTAAGATCTAATCTAAAATGGTAGTAAGACATCATGCCCAAGCAAAATGTACAAGACAATACTGCCTTAAATCATTTAAAAAAGGCTTAGGAGTAAAAGCATCAACGCCAAAGGAATATACCATGCTTGTTCTTCACATTAGTTTTGGTGTTCATTAAATTCTTATGTGAAATATTCCATTGACCATCATTAGCATATATATCCTATATTTAAAGTTATTTGAAATTATTTACAAATGTAATACTACATGTAGCAGCCAGTATCAATTTTTCAAATTTCAAGAATTCACTTAAAGTCTTATTTAATTTTTTTATATTTAAAAGAATCAAAGTATTGAAAAATGTTTTAAGCTTACAGAGAAAAATCTAAAATTAGTACACAAATTTTTATAGAATGCATGATGGAATCATAGCCTAGATTTGATGAGAAAGAGGCTATGTACAGGAAATGTTCTTTGTTTACTATCTAAGCACTTGATATAACAAATGACTACTTTTCATTTATTTGCCAAAAAACTCACTTCTTCGGTGGTGCAGGTTAAAGCACAGCACTGAGAAGCTAAAGCCACTTCTGCATGAGTTCGATCCCCAGGCCCAGAGGTGACCTACATGGTGTGGCAAACCTCTCCTGACCTGCCCGCTGCTCCCCTTAGTTGCTCCCCTCAGCAGTGGACTTCATGTATCTGCCTGTTCTGCTCCCCACTCTGTCTCTGGTGAATCCTCTCACCGCCCCTGCACCTCTGACCTGCACCCCAGTTCTGTATGCATAAATAAAAAATAAATCTTAAAAAAAAAAACAAAAACACTAAACTCACTTCTTCAAAAAACTTGTGCTAAATATCAGTTATGTGCTCCTCATTCTCATCCCATCTGTCTTCCATTCTTTTTCTTTGACTAGGGATAAAAACCTCAGAACTTTCACAAAGTATCCAATGTATAGACCAAACATTGGTTTACCTCTCGGAATAAATATAAATATTACTTACTTGAATGTGGCAACTTTGTTTATAACATTCTCTAAGCCAGTTTCATTATTTTCCTGTTGAAACAATATTTTTTAATCATTTTTACCTTCATATAGTGATTTTTTCTTCCCTTACTGTGAACTGAAATACACTTTCAAAAACTCTTCTGAAGTACTTTATAAAGAAAAGATCAACTTCTAATATATATAAAAAAAGTAGGTTCATTAGCTATGTCTTGAAGTACAAAATTTTTAAGAGGTAATAATTATGCATAAACTAATTAGGGAGAAGAACTTTAAGCTTCATGTGTTTAAGCACATACGGATGGTATTACCAATAGTTCAAAGAAAAAAACCTTTTCTTTTGTAGTATATTCATCATCCACATCATTAAAGCATATGCTATCTATAAGGATTCCTAAAACTAAGTTAACAAAATTAATAGAACATACAGCAAAACACAAATGTAGAGGTATCAATGTATTTTTCTTTCCCCCTGATTGGCCTGCACTTTTTTTTGAACAAGAAATACTGTACATAGAACATTAGAGAGAACAGACATACTAACATAGACTAATTCTAGGAGGCAGGCAAAAGCATCAAATCTTGATGAGATTATCCAGCAGTCTGAGATGCTTCTATTAATCTCTTTCCCCTCTTTCCTTCACCTGGAGTCAGGCTTGCAGTATATGTCAAATGGTTCCCCAAGTTTTTACCAGCTGCCTCATCAATTTCTCTCTGAGACAGTGTATTGAATAAAATCTTAAAAGTTTTATCTTGGTATCTGTTTCTCCTAAAAAGACAGGTTAACACATCATCCAAATAATCTCAGTATTTCAGGAAGCCCCATCTTCCTCTGAAGAAATGTTACTTTAAAATAAATAAAAAGTCAAAGATTTTCTTGCTCTAAAACATTTTCTAAATACCCAGAAAGTTTCTAAAATGTTTTCTAGTGTACAAATGCTCAAAATTAGCTTATACCATTAGAGATATGAGCAGTGCTAGTCTTATGTCGCAAAATTGCTCAACAAATTTTCCTAAAACTTTAAAGTAGCTTTTAATTAAAGAAAAAGGGGAATGCAGTAACAGAAACAAAACTGAACTTACATTCTCAGGTAAATTTTTGGCAATGGCACTGTGTGGCATTGGTTCAATGCAAAGCAAGTGAATAATTTCTCTCATTATGACCTCCTCTTTGGTCACATTTCCCACTCCAGGTACGTAACGCTCTCCTAACACAAACAATGAAAAGAAAAGCAAAATAACTAATTATTTTCTATTTAAATCTCTCTCTGGAAGAAGCATTTATATGCAGTAAACAGCACTAAATTAAGCCTATGAGAAAAGAACCAAAAATTATTTAGAAATGTTACTAAATCTGAACAACAAAAGCCTGTTTGCTAGAAGACAAGAGAAAGAGAACTGAAGAACACTGGTAGTCTTCTCTTAACTTACTTATACACATAGACAAATACTGAAACACACATTATATAGAAGGTCCTTCAATTAAATTAGCATGCGTTTCTAATCCAGAAAACAAGGCAAATGACAATGGATGAGCAATGGCATTACTGAACAGTAACTTTTATTTCAAGATTTTCTTCAATTTTGTGTCTACTTGTTATTTAAGAAAGAACAAAGTAAAACTGAAAAACAAAATACTTGGGGATACCTTTCCATAAAAACATTTTTATGATACTTCTTAAGACACTGTTAAGTGGCAAAACAGTAAGGTGTCAGATGACTGGTGTTGCAAAAAAATTCACGTGTTCAGGTTTCCACTTTTCATCTCAATAAACAGCTGAATGGAGAGAAAATATAGTTAACTGAACTTTGGGAACTGCTATCAAGAGTTTCTCATTCCCATTGTTTTGAGAAGGTTTATAATGTATGATCTTTTGTTATCATTGATTTTTCAATGTTACACCCTATGTACGAAGTCCTATGATATCTATAAAAGGGTGATTACAAAGATAGAAAATGCTAGCTTAAGAGATTTATGAATTATACAAATAAGTCAAAGATTGACTTTTTGTTAAGTGATTTTATTTCTAACAATATTACATTTGTATACACTCTGTAATTATCAGTTTTTGCCACCCCAAATAGTATCCCTTATTCAATACTAGAAGGAACCTTAGAAATCATGTTGGTCATTTTCACATTTTACAAATAAGGGATTTGATACCCGAAGAATAATAATGGCATACTTTCGATAGTCGATAACAAGGCCAAGAGATTAGATCTTGATTCTTAATCCACATCTTTTTCTACATCATATTATTTCCTCTATCACAAAATCAAGAGTTTATGTTTTTCAAAATGCTGACTCATTAAAGTAATGAGTTTATACTGAGAAATATAAGAAGTATTAACTGGAAATCAAATAACATAGAAGGGAAGCAAAACAAATTTGTGTAAGCCAAATATTAACAGCAAAATAATCACAGCAATACTAAAATAAAACAATACCGTAATATACATTATTCTAATCAGAAATCCCTCTCAAATTTTAAAATTTGATTAAAGTGAATTTAATAATGTCACTGTATCAATAGTTTTATACATTTTTAATTTGTCCACCCCATCTCACCCCGGCCCTCATTTAGTTCCCTAATGGAATATTCTGGACTGGAAGAGTTACCACCTAGACTATTTTAATCTCACTTACTAATGAAAGTTTACACACTTCCTGCTGAGAAAGCAGCTAGTCCAACAACTACCCTTTCAAAAGCAAGTAAAATGAACCCATATATTCAGATTTAGCTGATAGCTAGAATCCTCACTAAGAATTATTAATACAAAGCAATGTCTGCTGTATAACAACAGACATAATAAAATAACAACAAAAAGAAACAAGAATTAAAAGCTAAAAGCTTTTCTTAGTTGGCAAAATCAAGAGAGACTAGGCTGCCTATGGAGTACACAAAAGTAAAAGTATGGCTACTATTTGCACAAATAATTGAGTAGAATGATACAATGAAGATGATTTACTTAAACATGTTGACTGAAATTGTGTGTGTATGAAATTTTTAGCACTCATTATCTAGGTATTTTTCATGTAATTTCTAACAAGGGTAATTATATCCTAGACCTTGAAACAAGTCCAAATAACTGTAAATCGGGCATCAAAAAATAAGATGGAACAATTGTTCCTTTTTTTTTTTTAGCTGTGCTTTTTCAAAAACAAATTTCTAAACATACCAGCTGCATTAGTCACATTAATCTATGACTAATAATCTATACCAGACTTGGGACCAATTGATAAATCACAATTCTTGTTAATGTTCTCTCTAAAAAGGTATCATGCCTATTTCAAAATATTTATTTTAATCTTACCCACAATATAGATGAGGACTTGAAGCATTTCTTCTATTAATGTATTATACTGCTTAATCAAATCCTGTAGAATTGAAAAAGAATTAGCTACTTAAGAACTGAAAGCTTTCATAAAACATACATTCTGAGTCACAATCAAAAGGTGATCCCATCCAGTATTTTCTTTCAGACCACAGCAAGAGATTTATAAGATGAATAATTCCCTTTTTTAAACATCAAATTTAAGAAGGTTCATAATACCCAACACAAAATAAAAACTCAGTAACAAACTGTTAACAATAATACTTGCTTAAGAATTAATTCACTTAATCAGTTCTTTTGCTCACCTGGTCTTTTGTAGTGATGGTCTTACTAAAAGCATCAGCAAGTTCATACCTCTGAAGTACCAACAACAAGAACTTATTGGGATCCATTAAAGATGCACCAATCTATGAAAGAAAAAAAACCCATTATCATTGCTCTTATCTATAAAATGCAGAAATATTTGCTTTTCAGTGGCTCTAGTAGAATGGGCAGAAAAATTATAAAGTTTGCAGAAGATGATGTAATTATCCTCTTCCATTTCCAAGATAGCATCATCAGTTTTAAAAAGTTAAAACTTAGATTAAAACAAACAAAAAAATTTTTTTCTCTTATTTCTAAAAGGTTAAGATGTATATATCCAGAAGTTATTTAAATAAGTACCTGAAGCATGATTATATCTTTATCATACATTTCTTCTCTGCACTTAACATCTTGGTAATAAAACACCTATGAAATAAAAGAGAACAGATGGTAAAATAATTTTATCCAAAACACTAATTCAAAGGGATACACACACAGACCTATGTTTATTGCAGCACTTTTTTAAAGTTTTTTTTTTATTATTATAATAATTTATTTTTACATCATTTTCCATCTCAGTTGTAATACCCATGGGTTTCCCATCACCAATTCACCTTTGTGCTTTCATCATAGTTCTGGCAACACTCTTTTTAATAGTCAAGTTATGGAAACAACCTAAGTGACCAACAACAAGTTAGTGGATTATGAAGAAGTGGCACATGTCCACAGCTACTTAAAAAGTGAGCCTTGACATTTGTGACAACATGGATGGAACTGGAGGGGATAATGCTAAGCAAAAGAAGACAAATACTGATGGCTTCATTTGTATATGAATCCACAGAGACAAAACAAGAAGTCAGACAAATCCAAAACAATACAAAATCAAGAAATCTGACTGCAGAGTTGAGGCTACATGACAGGTGGGGGTTGGACAGGAAAGAGTGGAAAAGTGCCCAGAGAACTATGAAGGACTGACTGTGGGTGCCTTGGTGGTCGGTGTGGTGACTTACATCTGAAGGAGTGATCTGAATTACACATGAATCATACACAGTGTTATAAACCAATGTTACCACAATTTAACAAAGAAGTTTTTCATTTCAAACAAACTCTTAATAACCAATATTCTTACAATTTTCTTTAAATTAGAAATCTCAAAAATACTTTAGTGGCAAAAAAATAGGTTGTGAGCTCTATGAATAACATTAAGAGATTCGTGAGGATAAAATAAGATACCTGGCATGAAGACATTTCATATATATCTGTATATATATTATATACGTATACTTTATGTGTACGTTCGTCATTTTAGATATATAAAGAAATAAAATTTTGAAATGAATTAGTATTCTCAATATGCACACAAAAGAAGCTCACGAGTTAAAAATACCTACTTCAATAAAAGCAAGCCAATTTCTACATTCTCTACAGTCAATCATGACACCATTTTTCTCTGAAGTGGTAACTTTACAAAACCTGTTTCATTACTTTTTTAAAAAAACTTTTTCCATATTCTAAAAAAAGAAAGAACATTATAAGTGGCCCTAAGTTAGCATATCTAGTAGGAAGGCTACAAGTCAAAAGTAAGGTAATTTTCTTAAGTTAATGGGCAGGTTTCTGGCTTTCATCTCATCTCTCCATTAATTAGGATGAAAATAGAAAAACTCTCTGTTGCTACAACTTTCACTTGTGAGCTGATATAAAAGAACAGAAAACAAATGCTCAGGAAAATCCAAGGACTCAAAATAGATAAAGGAAAAAAATTAGAAATGAAGACATTTATAAATGTACATAATAGATCTTGCTATACCTGGCTGATGAGAGAAAGTCCATTTCTTCGCCACATTTCAGCAACAACCTGGGCAACCAATACCAGACAGCGCAGGGGGTATTCCATGAGTATCTCTACTTGAAAGTCCTCCTGAAACAGTGTGAGGTCAATTTCATTATTTTTCAGAGGGCTTAGGAATGTTTCAAAGTATGCACTAAATATTTCTCAGTTTCTTATCTACAAGATGAAAGGCTTTTGAGTAGCTAATTCTAAGTCCCTGTGATTCAGATTTCAATGTGCTATATACAGATGTAAAATTCCTAGATGGGTTTCAAAATATTATTTTTCTTTGCACTCACCAACCAAAAATTGTTTAGAAATAGGAAGTAAAGTCACTTACAAAAGGCACAAATTCATGCAGTCTTGAAACTGCACCCAATCTGCTTAAACGCACATGAAGACCTAAATATAAAAAGGAGAAAAATAAGAAAGCAATTAAACTCAGCTGATGTTTCCTAATTAATGCAACAAGTCAAAAAACTTGTGTGTGATTTAAATAAACATTGAGTTAGAAATGATACTTAGAATTCAAAACTTCTAATTTTTAATTTTGAAATATTACTAAAATATTTAAGATTCTTCATTGTGCAAGACATGCTTACACATTATTACATAAAGATAATAATGCTGACTCTCAAGATGTATTTATTCTGTTCAAAGTATAATGGGGAAAACCAAAGGACTACAGAGTTGTGACAGTTAAGAGCATCAGAGCTCTTAACTGTGGTATCTGATCTGATTTCATCTGTACACACTTCAGCATAGAACCATAACAGATATTATACTACTACTATTCTTAATATGTATGATAAAAAGAAAACGGAAACATCCAACAAATACTCACCAGCAAGAGTCCTAGAAAGTGGCAGATGTATGCTTACAAGGTCTTCAGAAACCCTGTAGGACTTAGTTTCCAAGGTATGACCACACAATTGTACTACTGTCTTGCTACTAGATATGAAACTTGTACTGCACCTCATCACAGCTTTATGACACTCTTTATAAGCCACTAGTAAGAGTTCTTCCTAAAAGGAAAGTAAAAATGCAAATAAGTTGACAAATTATCTACTTTACCATATCATTCAATAAGATATTTACTAAATATGATCACAATGTTGTTCCATTAGTAGGGCTACCTTCTCAGGATCTACAAATTAGCAGGAGATTATAAAACAGACATACAGACACACATAAACAGACACAAAGTGATAGACTGCCATTATTATGTAAACAGTACAAAATAATAACCTGAAGAGAATAAAAGAAAACAAACTCACATACAACTAAGACAAGTGGGACGAGCTATTCATGAGAGCAGCTTTAGAGTAGGGCCTAGAAGAACATGTAGAATTTAAGTATGGGGGAAAAAATGAAAAGGTTGAATTGCAAGCAAAGACACAGAGTAAACAAAATGGAAATAAGGGGAAAGTATTGTTCAGATAGTGCAAGGAATAAAAATTAGTTATCATGGGTTTATCCAATGAACATCTAACATAGTGACTGCAGTGTCTCTGAGACTTAATGGATGGATAAATGTAAGAATCGTAATGTCATTAATGGAATACAGGAAGTCAAGAAGAGAAAATGCAGTCTGAAGTAGAAAAAAATACTGACACATCAATTTAATGAATTCTGATTTTGAAATGTAAGTGTAATATCTAAGCAGGAATATCTGGCACACAAATAGAACTGTTACTAGACCTGCAAGGAAGAAAATATTGGGAAATATTTCATTTGGTGGACAGAATGTGGTAGTGTGGCCAAGCAGTCATTTAGTGGACAGAAAGGAATTTTTTGAAAAGTTAATCATTGATTGAAGTGGATAATCAATAACAGAAGTATCAGAATAGTGTAGTAAGTAACAGAAAATCAGGAAAAGTTTCAAGATTAAGGTATTTAACAGAATACAATGTTGCAGATACTTTAAAGAAGATGTAGATTTTTAAAGACATTTGAACCCTGCTTACTAAGTAGATGCTTTGAAATATTTTCTAAAAACAGATTTTGTTAACTGGTAAGGGCAGAAGCCAGACTCCAAAGTTTTAGAAACTAACAAGTGTTGATAATAAATATAGATGACTTTAGAAGGTTTGACACACCTTGATCTTCCCTTCAACAATTGTTCATGCCCTCCAAATGTGAGCGCAAACAAAAAATATGGGCTGTGCTAGTTGTCAGGCAGTATTTCCCATCCTTATAGTTCTACAAAATTAATGTGTGTGGTTAAAGTCTGTTGTGTCTGTGCATAATTGCCACTCTGAACCTGAGATCCATTGCTGGTGGTAGAGCAGAAGAGCAAAGGAAAAAAGAGCATACAGCTCATAAAGGTGAAAGGCAAGTAAGGGGACTTTATTATTGTTTTTAAGATTAACAGAGTCCTATGTGTTAATGGCAGAATAAAAGACTGGGAAATACTAGAGGACATAACTGAGGAAGCAAATCCCAGAAACAGTAATATATTCTGGGACCAAGATCCTCAGAAGACACATTATTTTTAGAAAGAAACATGTAAAATGAATGAAACCAATAGTGAAAATACAGAAAAAAACTGTGTCAATGAACTGATTATGGTGAGAGGTACAGAGAAACTATGAGGAAAAAAAAAGAACTAAACTCAGAGAATGACAACAACTTTCTAAAATCAGAAATAAATAAGGTCATCTTCCCAAAGGGAATCTGGAGTAGGACTGAATGTTTAAAGAGAATTATGGTCTAAAATTATTGGGTAAAGCAATATATTAGCAATATATTTTGAAATTAACTTTCTTAATCGTTTGACACACATAACAAAGCTTGCAATTGGCTAAATATCTATCCCATCCATTGTTGGAATAATTAAAAGCCTGTATGGCACTAATTTCACATTAGATATATGTATCACTACATAAATAATATGTATTTTTTTTTAAACCCCACTATTTCTGTAGATAAACTGAACTATTGTGGAGCACATTTTCCAATCAAGTGTAAAAGCTGGATTTTCCTCCAAAATTAATTTTATTAAGACAACTTCAATATATGATATTTCTGAAATAATAAAATTTTACATTTGGCAGTTATAACCTAGTGGTTCTACTAATAACCATTAGAACACTTAAAAAGGCTCTGATTCTACTGACAAATTTTACTTACATCACAAGCACACCACTCTTGGAACATAAGTAAAATATTCTTCAACTGCATTTGTATAGCAATGGCAGCCTCCCAGTCAGGATCCACTTCAATGTGTTGCCCAACCTGTCTTCTGATTTCTTCCATTCCCTACAAAAAAAGAATGGTTAACCTATCTACACAGCTCTCTTGCTTAGCTACTCTATTGGTTAAAATTTGTCAGGATTCATATTCATATATGGCTTTACTTGCTAACTGTGATCCTGGTCAAATTATTCCTGAGCTTCAATTCCTTTATGTGTAAAATGGTGATCATAACAGTAACTACCCCATAAGATTGCTATGAGGCTCAAAAGAGATAATTCAAGAAAAGTGTTTATTACAGGATCACATGGTAAGCATTCACTACACATTAACAGTAATAACAGTCATTAACAAAGATATAGAGAGAGATCTATTAAAGCAGGCTCAGTAAGGCAACATTCACATTTTAAATTTTACTTTACACATTTTCTCTCAAATAAAAACCACAATTTTCTTTAAAAAATGTGAAAGACAGGATTTAAATTAAAAAAAAAAAGTATCTTAGTGATGTACACAACTATCATACCTGCATACAGGTAAGAATCTTCAAAAAAGATCGAAAACCTTCAAGGAACTGCATTCTTAATCTTTCTGTCCATACCATGGGCTTGCTGATCAGGATATACCTAGCATTTCAAGAGACAAAGAAATATTTCACACCCCTATTTAGAGATCATTTTAAAGTTCTGAGGGCTTAGACACATTAAAACTAAGGATTCTAATTTCTTGTAATAGTTAGAAGCTCTGGGTAGGTCTAGACTTGTTCTGCTTTATTATTTTACATACAACCAGCAAAATGTGAATGCCCTATGAAGGGCAGATGTCAAAGCTAGTCTGACTTCTTTGTCCAGAAGTTAATTTGATTAAGTGAACCTAGCCTGTCAGAGCTGAACAACCACAGTACAAATTTTCTAGGACTGTTCACAGCTCTTACGCAAACGATCAGTTGAAATGAGCATTTAGCTTCAAAGTGCATGTCAAGCTGCACATGCAGGATATATGGTGCTTGTGTAAACTATCTCAGAACATGGTCTAAACTCATGAATAAAAAGACACAGAGTCACAGGATGGATAAAAAACAGAAGCCATCCTTTTGCTGTCTACAGGAAACATACTTAACTACAAAAGATATAGACTGAAAGTAAAAAGATGGACAACAATACTACAAGCAAATGGACCAATAAAGATGGCAGGAACAGCTATCTCATATCAAGTGAAATAGACTTCAAACTAAAAAGGTAAAATGAGACATTGTGATTAAGGGGACACTAATCAGGAAGTCATAACAATCATCAGCCTATATTCACCAAACAAAGGAGCCCATCAAAATATGTCAGACAATTATTATCATCTCTGAAAACAGATATCAGAGAAAATACATAGTAGGAGACTTTAACGTACCACTCTCACCACTGGATAGATCAACAACACAAAAAATAGGCAAGGGCACTAGAGCTCAAAGAACAAGCTAATCTCCCACCTTAGAGAACTGGAAAAAGAACAACAAAAAAAATCCCAAAAGCCAGTAGAAGAAAGGATATAATAAAAATCAAAGCAGAAATAAATGAAATAAAAGTTAAAAAACAATTCAAAAGAACAATGAAACCAAAAGTTGGTTCTTTGAAAAAATAAACAAAATAGACAAACCTCTAGCCAGGCTCATAAAGAAAACACGGGAGAAAGCACAAATGAATAGGATCCTAAGTGAAAGAGGAGAAATTACAACACACACAGCAGAAATCAAAAGAATAGTAAGAGTTTACTATTAACAATTATATGCAATCAAGTTCAACAATCTAGAAAAGATGGACAAATTCCTACAACTTTATAATCATCCAAAGCTAGATAGAGAAGAAATAGAACAGACCAATTGCAAGCAGTGAAACTGATACAGTAATCAAAATTTTCCCCAAAAACAAAAGCCCAGGACCAGACAGCTTTACAAATGAATTCTAATGATCAGAAACAAGCTAGTGCCATACACAAAAAATTCTGAATTTCAAAAAATTGAGAAAAAAGGAATACTACCAAATACATCTTATGAAGCCAACATTATACTAATACCAAAACCAAACAAGGACAACACACAAAAAGAAAACTACAGGTCAATCTCTTTAATGAACACTGATGCAAAAATCCTAAATAAAATAATAGCCAACAGTATCCAACATTGCATCAAAAAGATAATCCACCATGACCAAGTAGGATTTATCCCAGGGGCACAAGGATGGTTCAACATCCAAAAATCAATTAGTGTAATCCAACACATCAACATAAAGAAAAATAAAAACCATATGATTATATCAATAGATGCTGAGAAAGCATTTGACAAAGTCCAGCATCCATTTATGACAAAGGTTCCTGAAATTCTCAAGATAGAAGAAACATCTTAACATAATAAAGGCATATATGACAAACCCATAGTCAATGTCATTCTCAGTGACGAACAGCTGCAATCCTTTCCCTTAAGGTCAGGAAAAAGACAAGGATGTCCACTCTTAACACTGCTTTTCAATATAATACTGAAGTCCTAGCCAGAGCAGTAAGATGAGAAAAAGGCATACAAGGAATCCAAAGTAAAACTATTACTACTTGCAGATAATATAATATACATAGAGAATTCCAAAAACTCCAAAGAAAAACTTATCAAAATAATCAACCAGTTTAGTACAATAGCAGGATACAAAATCAACAGAGAAAGCTCAGTAGCCTTCCTATATAAAATTAATCTGAAGAAGAAATCAAGAAACCCATTCCCTTTACAATTGAAACCAAAAAGATCAAATGCCTGGTAATAAACCAAAAAGGTGAAGGACCTCTACAAAGAAAGTTATAAACCATTGTTAAAAGAAATGAAAGAAGACACATAGAAATGGAAAGCTATCCCTTGCTCATTAACATTATAAAAATAGCCATTCTACCAAAAGCAATTTATAGATGCAATGCCATTCCAATAAAAATTTCAGTAACATTCATCAAAGAAATAGGACATTCATCAAAGAAATTCATATGGAGCCACAAAAAAAACCTCGAATAGCCAAGGCTCTCCTGAATAAGAAAGAATGGAATGGGGGTATCACACACCCAGACAAAGCCATAATAATAAAAAATGCATGGTACAGAAACAAGAACAGAATACAGACCAATGAAATCAAATAGAAAGCCCAGATATAAACCCACAGGCTTATGTACAGCTAATCTTTGACAAAGTAGCAAAGAATATGCAATGGAGCAAAGAAAGTTTGTTCAATAAGTGGTGCTGGGTAAACTGGCTGCTATGTGCAATAAAACAAAGCTAGATTACTACTTCACACCATACACAAAACCCAAATCAAAATGGATTAAAGAACTAGACATGTAAGACTTGAAACCATAAAATATATTGAAGAAAATATTGGCAAAACACTACATGACATACACCTCAGTAACTCTTTAAAGATACATCACCCAAAGCAAGGATAATGAAGGAAAGGCTCAATAGCTGGATAGACTACATCAAATTAAAGAGCTTCTATACAGTAAAAGAGAAATTAAACAAAACAAAGAGACACCCCACTAACTAGGAGAAAATTTTTGCACAAAATACTAATGATAAAGGACTGATCACAAAGATATACAGAGCTGACAAAACTCAACAAAAATAAAGTGAACAACCCTATCAAAAAATGGGGAGAAAAGCTAGAAAGATACTTCTCCAAAGAGGAAATGCAGACAGTCAACAGGCATATGAAAAAATGTTCAACATCACTTGTAATAAGGGAAATGCAAATCAAAATTACAATGAGATACCATCTCACACCAGTGAGAATGGCACATATTAAAAAAACTAGCAATAATAAATGTTAGTGAGGATGTGGATAAAAAGAAACTCTCCTACACCCTGGTGGGAATGCAACCTGGTCCAATCACTATGGAAAGCTGCGTGGAGGTTCCTCAAACTGCTAAAAATGGAGCTTCCATATGAACCAGCAATTCCATTCCTAGGTATCTAACCAAAGAACACAAAAACATTAATTTAAAAGGACACCTGCAAACCCATCTTTATTGCTTCTCTATTTGCAATAGGGAAGATGCAGAATCAACCCAAATATTCAAAAATAGATGACTAGATCAGAAAGATATGGTACATATACACAATGGAGTATTACTCAGCAATCACAAAAGAAACTCATGCCATTTGTGTCTATGTGGATGGAGCTGGAAGGGATCATGTTTAGTGAAAAAGTCAGAATGAAAAAGAAAAATCCTGGATGGTTTCACTCATAGCAGGACTGTAAGGGATCAGGAAAAAAAAAAATAATAAAATAAAAACTAAAATCAACAACTATAAGCCAGAGACATTCTATGGGGGCGGACCAGGGGGAGGGTCAAAACAGGGGTGGGAGGAACGCATGGGACTATGATGATGTCACATGGGTGAATTGGTGGTAGGAAGTCCACCAGGATTACAACTGAGATGAAAAAATGTACAAAATGAAGAATGATGTAAAAAATATATATTTAAATAAGAAAAAAATAGACTAAATGAAAAATACTTTATATTAATACCTCCCTAAAAGAAATTAATTTTTTCAAGTTCATGACTTATTGAATAGTTGATATGTTGTAATCCTGATAATATTCACCATCAATTCCTAAAATAAATGGAAATTATTTCCTTTTACGTTCAATGATCCCAAATATGATATCTCATGTGATTCTAAGTTTAGTTTAAAAGGAAAATCTCAGTTCCCTTTTGAAAGAAAATCTTAAAGTGCTGATAAATATCAGCAACTCAGTTATACATTTGAAGGAATAAGTTAAAGAAATACACATCAGTACAATCATCTGACACTATGCACAAACAAAGTGAAAGGGGATGTGTAGAAGTGCGTAGAAGGCATGGTAATTACAATTCATTAGTGACTCCCAAGAGTACCAAGTTCCTGTGACAGGCCCCTCCTTAGTACTTTCTTTATTACCCTGACTTTAAGTGAGGACCTCACTTAAAACATGTATTGACATGAGACAGTAACAGTTCTTTGTGCTTGCCATCATAAAGAAACTCCTGACAACCAAAAGAACATAGATTTGTTTATAAGACAGAACAAATTAGCATTATTAACAGGTACCCTCACCTTTTGACTTGCACAACTTACTTTAGATCACATATTACTGCGTAGACTCTTCCCAATTTGTCCTGGCTATACCCCTGGAAGTTGAACTTATTGTTCCTGTCCAAGTACTCAGGCAACACTTCTAGCAGAGTTTCAGTAATGACAGAGATAACATTCTGCTCTTCAATAAGATGTCGAGCCTGCACAGTATTTAAAAAATGTCGCTTTCAGTATTAACTCATTATTGTATGAACTTTACTTATTCATTTGGTTAACTTATTAAGTAATTCTTTAAAAAAAGAAAGATTTATTTATTTATGCATACAGAACTGGGGTACAGGCCAGGGTGCGGGGCTTGAGAGGATTCACCAGAGACAGAGCGGGGATCAGAACAGGCAGATGTACTGAAATACACTGCTGAGGAGGGGAGCAGGTGCCATGCTATATGGGTCACACCCTGGCCAGAGATCAAAGTCATGTTGCAGTGGCCACGATAGCTTTGTGGTGTTGTGCTTTTAACCTGATGCACCACCAGGGAGGGCCCATTGTTAAGTTATTTCTTATGTTCAATGTTCAGTTACCATCAAACATGAATGCTTAGTTGCACAGAATAGCAATTTCCGATAAACTATTTTCTAGAGTAAAAATTTCATACTCCTAAGTAACTAAAAACCACTTGTCTGGACACCCCAAGCTCACTATACAGGCTTTCTACATAAATATTTACCATTAATATAACACAATGAGCAAGAACAACAACAACAGATAAGGCTTCTAGCATATTACTGTCTATTTTGGCATATCCCCCTCACTTCTACTTCAATTTCTCTTCCCTTTTCCTGTGGCCTTTGAAAAGGAAAAGTAGGAATGGTTAACCAAACAGAAGGAAAAAACAAGAATAGAAGTAGTACAGAAAGGAAACAATCCTCCACTTTCCCCTCAGGTCTGCTAGCATTAGCTTATGCAAATGCTTGACAGTCATATACATCTCCTGTTCTGTTAATCTTTTTTTTTTTTTTTTTTAAAGATTTATTTATTTATTTGTACAGAACTGGGGTACAGGCCAGAGATGCAGAGGGTGAGAGAATTCACCAGAGACAGAGCGGGGAGCAGAACAGGCAGATCGACGAAGTACACTGCTGAGGGGAGCAGCGGGCAGGTCAGGAGAGGTCTGCCACGCCATGTGGTCGCCTCCGGGGCAGGCGGGAATCGAACTCATGAGGAAGTGGCTTTAGCTTCTCAGTGCTGTGCTTTAACCCGCTGCGCCACCAGGGAGGGCCGTGTTCTGTTAATCTTAATCTATCCCCACCCCCACCTCTCAAACTAAAGAACAGAAAAAAAAAAACAAAAAAAAAAAAACAAAAAAACCCCTGGATATTGAAAAGACACCACTCCTAGGTTACTCTAGAAGCTGATCTGTGACTGTCCTCCATAGGGATCGGGACTTTAGGGCAAAGGCAGCACCTTCACTCAGACTCTACCAATTACCTACTCTTTGCATGCTGTAACACTCACATACAGATGCCAGTCAAGTATTATTTAATTTCCCAAATGGAATAGCCCAACAGATTCTGAAATAATTTTAATTTTATTCAACACTAAAGCAAAACTCTCAAAAAATAAGTTTTACTTAGAGTACACATCCCAGAAATTAAAAAAAAAAAGTATATATATATATATATATATATGTATATACCAGAGTAGGAACAGTAAACATCTGAACTGAGAGTGCAGTAACAGAGATACTTCTGTCATGATCATCGCTGATATATTCTTTCTGCAGTTGTTTATAATACTGAAAGATATAATAAATGAAGATTCAATTATAAAATTATTACCAAAACCTCTCAAAATCCCAGTTTTCTTAACAGTTGCTGTAAATTTGTTTCTATGTATACGATGACAAATATCATTCCAGTTTATTAAGGGGAGATATTATGGTCAACAAAAAATACGATGAGTAAAACATACAAAATATGGATTCAGCTACCTAACTAGTAGAACTGGAAGTAAAAACCATTAAAACCCAAAAAACATACAAACACAGGTAAAAGTAACAGAGAACTGCAAAAACACAGTATATCCTTATTTTCCTTTTTCTATTTTATAAATACAGTTTTTTAACATTATTCTTCATTTTGTACAGTTTTTCATCTCAGTTGTAATTCCTGTGGACTTTCCACCACTATTTCACCCATGTGCCATCACCATAGTCCCATATGTTCTTCCTACCCCAGTTCTGATCCTCTTCCCTTCTTCTCCCCACATAGAGTATCTTTGGTTTACAATTGTTAATTGAAGTTCTTTTTTATTTTATTACAATTACTCACTCTTTCTCTCTCTACATATATATGTACACACACACATATATATATATTCCTGATTAGCAGAACTATGTTTAAAGTGTTTAAAAACTAATATGATCTAGAAAACCAACTAATCAGGTTAAATCCAAGCTTAAGCAGAAAGAAAGTGACTGTAAATAATCTCTCAACAGCAATGATGCTTACCAGCTGAAAATCAATCCTGACATACTGGGAAAATAAAAATAATAATACCCTGCCACATATCAAATATCTATTATATGTAGGCATCATTAGATCCTTGACCTATCCACTGGAACTCCTACAATGTTTAAAAGGTAATCATGGTATTTAAAGAAAAAAAAAAAAGAGTAGGGACAACTGCTTTTGTACAAAAAGAAAAATGTAATTTCAGATCATACATATGTAATTTCAGATCACACATATTCTACCTACAAGAATTTTAGAATAGAGTTGATATTACAAGTTGTTATCATCTTTCAAGACACCAAATCGTCTTAGCCACTTTTAGCAATCGACTTATAAAATACAGGGAGTGCAGATAACTTATCCCATAGTATCATTTGCCTATGACAATCATTATTTTACTCTGCATCCATTTTATTCCATATTGGATCCTACTTCAGGTTTGTCTTTTAAGTTTTACAGAATGGCTTGCATCTCAAATCAGAGGAAAACAGCAAGTGTTTATTGGAAATCCTTGTATAAGGCAAAAGGGAAAGGTTAAATAAAAGAATTTCCTGTTTCATATAACCTTACAATCTAAATCAACACACAAAAAATATACAGCAATGGTAGCAACATGTAATAGATCAACAAATAGCATTAAAAAGATCTAAGTTTTAGCCTCAAACAGGTCTAAGTACATGCCTGCCTATCAATTCTTGTCTCCCTTCAGCAAGCATATCTGGTTCTTTTCCCCTGCCCTGCTTTTCAACTAATTACTTCTACCCTTTTATTTACTTACATTTTCTTACACTGTTGTTCATTTTTGTATGGTAATTGTTTTCTCCCCTCAGGTGTAGATGCCATGTTTCTCTGCCACCATATCACCCCAGAACTATCACCATATTGCCTTGTGTTCTTCCTTCCCCTATTTTGATCCTTTTACTGTTGTTTATACTTTACTAACAGGCAAATAACTAAGAAGGATGAATGCATTTTTAAATGTGATAATTCCCTATTGCATTATCTAGGTAAGAATTAAGCCATTTTCCACCTAACTCATCTCCCAGACTACTATTTCCATAACACCAAATGTGAAAATAAATGAAATTTTGACAAAGAAATGAGTCATAAAATTAATATTCTTATCTCCTTTGTTTCTATTTTTCAATTACAAAAACTGTTTCTATTTTTATTTGTTGGTATCTATTTATAAAGAGCAATTACCTTCACAAATTCCATAGCAAAGAATTTTTTGTATTCCATCTCCATAAAAAAACTGCTGAAGATCAATTCATGAAGAATCTTACGGGCACCTATAGATCATTTTGGAGGGAAGTTGGGGAAGTATCACCAAGGCAAAAAAAAACATTCCAGCTATTAGAAGTGGCAGAATATTATAAAAATAGTTCACATAGACTTCAAGGACTCCAGTAAGAGTAGCATTTATTACACTAATATTTAATAGCTAGAATTTAAAATACATACATATATTGCCTTTCCCTTTTTCTTTACCCCTTTCACCACTTTATTTACTTTATTCTACCTTTCCCAATCTTCTTCACTCCTTTTCTTTCTATTTCACTAAAACTACAACTACTCTAAGCCTTTACTTTTTCAGTCTCTCATTTTTTACTTCTTGTTCTTCATTTAGGTTTTTAAATTGAAAATTAACATAATTTTAATAATGGCACTAACATGAAAACATACATATAGCTGTTTTGTTACTGACCCTGACTAAATGAGAAGGTACTTCAAATGAAAGAAAATATCTCTTGGTTTTAACATGGAAGAATACATATTGATAGTTAACTTTAAAGCATAATATCTTGTCAACCAAAGTTACTTGGTTTCTTAAAAAACAAGAGATTATAGCTCCACTGGAAAATCATAATCTTCCTTTGCATCATGGCAAGCAGCCTAAGCAAAATACCCACCTTTATAAAGTTTTGCATCCCAAAGCATTAACCTGCTTATGAGACAGGGATTCTCAGAGCCTGGTTCTTCCCTAAGGCATGCTTGGCAAAAGATCTGTCTAAAGTCACCTATAAACAAAAGAAGTTACATAATTTTTATTCTTGTAGTAGCCCTTTTAAAAATACTTTTCCTGTAACATGAAATGATGAACTAAATTTAATCTTCCCATACTTGATGTCAAGAATAAATCTGTTAACATCAAAGAATCAAGAGTCAATAAAATATTATTTATGGAACTTAAGATGTAATTCTAAAAATTAATCAAAATGTATAAACCAAGCAAAGGAAGATTTATTTTTTATTTTTTTAACGATTTTTTTTATTTTTGCATACAGACTAGAACAGGCCGTAAGAGGATTCACCAGTGACAGAGCCGGAAGCCAAACAGGCAAATCTACTGAAGTAAACTGCTGAGGAGAGCAGGGGGCAGGACAGGAGGGGTCTGTCATGCTATGTGGGTCACCTCCCTGGCAGAGGACTGAACTTGTGTTGTAGTGACTGGGGCAAGCTTCAAAGTGCTGTATCTTAACTGGCTGTGCCACCAGGGAGGGCCCAGGAAGGTTTATTTTTCTACTCAATGACAATTTGAAATTTGTGACTATAAAAACAAAGCATTTTATGTGAAATAAAAAAATAGGCTATATCCTTACTTGAGTAACTCATAATTTTGTTCATCCAGGAACCAAGACGTAAAGCAAATTTCTGATGAGCCATAACTTCAGAGTTTAATACTTCTACATGAAGTGGATGTTGAGAGACATTTTCTGAGTGACTCTACAAATGAAAGACATATTGAAAAAGAAAAATAGTTAAAATTTTTTGTTTTAACTAAGTAACATACTCTCCAAAAAAAGGAATCATATAAAAGTTCACAGTTCCAAATCTGTGTCTAACTGCACAATTACATTTTTATTTAGGATGCCAAACCATTTCAACAATATAATTGTTCTACTTGGGTTCTTATACTGTACATTCCTCTTAAAATTCTCCTTTTGTTCCTAATTAAAAAAAATTACCTTTATATCTTCCTTTGCTTCCTGGCAAGCAGCAAAAGCACCTGCTTTCACAGCCCGGCGACCCTAGTTACAAATAAAAGTGAGAACTAAGTAGCAGAATGATGATCTCAATAAGAAATATATTTCAAAGACCTAATGAATGCTTAGTTATTAATCATTTGTCAACTGCCTAAATGTTGTAAAAAGGGCAATACCTAAAATACAAAAACAAATGTTTAATAGAAGTTTGAGAACTTTCAACATCACCAGCAAAGAAATTCTTTACCATGGTGGATTTCCTGCTTGGCAAGAATGTCAGTTCTTTACTTACTACAATATAGTCCATTTCTACCAATTCCTTAAGTCCTACACTAATTAAGTAATGCCATACTGTTTAATATTTCTTCTATTTACGTGAGGAACACATTCCTTCTAAATACCTGATAATAATATGTAAAACCTGAATTACAGAATTATTATCTTAAAAATAATTTTAATAATAAAATCTCAGAAACAACCATAATTCATAATTCATGCATTTATTCATTCAATTGAAAACAATAAAGCTAGATCAAAATTGAAGCGACATTCTTCACTCCTTTCTGCCAAATGCATTTGGAAATGTTCAAATTATTTAGAATTAAAGAAGACAATTACAAATAATTACCTAAAACTATACTGAACACAGAAAACTCAAGTTTTAACCAATTTTCCTAGGACTACAAGGAAGAAATGAAGAGGATGGTTGTACTTAATATAATACTAAGGCACCTGGCAAAGTCAACAGTCAACAATGGCTTCAGAAAATCAATGTTAAGATAACAGCATACTTCTAGTAAAGCCACGAACCTCTTTGTCTATAGCAGTGGTGTGCAGCTGTGCTTCTGCAAGCTCACAGTCAAGCGCTCTCTGCAGGCTGTATATGACGTGGTCATATGAATGGTGTTCATCATTAAAAAGGACACAATAATACTTTTCACTTTTCTCCCTGTTTAAAAAAAAAAAGATGTATATGTATACAAGTATTCAGATAATAGCACAAATAAAAAAATATATGGAATAGGCTAAAATAACATACAACATCTATACTGATACAGCACAATATATTTCCTATATATGGGAAAGTACCCCTGGTATAGGACATGATTTGAAGTGGTGCAGTATGGGGCAGCTAAAAAACTCTGATTAAAGTGTATTTTCTATGTTTTTTCCCTAATTTTTCTTATTGCTCTCAGAAGTAAATTATTATAATTTAGTGGCAACAGATCTTTAATATCATTCTTACACTAATCTCCCACTCTTACAAAAGAAGACAGGTTTCTTGCTCAGAACCTTCAAGCAGGCAAGATTTTTAGTAAGGTTTTACAAATACATTGTTACTGAATTTATTTTAACTGATACTGGTTTTATAGTACATTTTAGTGTGTGTGTGTGTGTGTGGAGAGAGAGAGAGAGAAAGTGCCAGCACTATCATTTGACCGAGGGACTTTAGACAGGTCACTTCAAATTTTTCTGCTGAGATGACAGTGTGTCTAATCACTCTAAAAAAGTGCATTACCTATATTTGTGAATGGTGAGAAATTATCTATATTTGTCAGTGGTGAGGAAACAACTGTCATGGGCTACATAAGTGTCATGTTATTGACACGTTTTAAACTGTTTACAATAAATTTTTACAAGAGACTCAATTGAGTGTCATAACTGAGATTTTCTAAGAGTCTTAGAAAAACTTCTCTATAATCACAATGCCAATAACCAGTGAGAAGAACAAAAACTTAGATCTGTGAATCTTCAGTTTAGAGTTGCCTACATACCCAATCACACTCAAGCAACTCTCCCCCCACCCTCTTTTTTTAGGATAGCAGATTGCTGGCATTATATTTTCCAACAAATTTGTTAAAACTTTTTTTTAATCAAAACTTTTGTAGACATAATTTCATAATTTCTAATGACCCTTATTTCCTCCCTGCATCTTATGGCCCAGCAAGGATAAAGACAGTAATATTTAATGCTTTTATAAATTAAAATTCTTAATTCTCTACCCTTCCAAAATAAATAAACCAAAGAACTGAGTCAACTCAAAGAACAACTTTATTTAGATTTGTGGTGCAACTGTGTGTATTTCCTAAAATTAAACAGAAAAATTCCTTCAAGGCCAAACTGCATTTCAGGTGTGAAATTCCCACTTTTTTTTGTAAGTGAAGAGCAAATATTAGTGTCACTGAAAGACTTAAGACTATTAGAAACTGCTGATTTTGGCTAATAAGTTTAAATCTATACAACTGAAGTAATCCTACACACCAAATATGTAAGGCAAAGGGCTATTTCATTTGTACCATCAAACTTTTTTGATGGTAAGACCTGGGTTAAAGGGAGACACATTGTTCTGATGTGCTTGTCTTTATTCACAAACCTCTCGGGGAAACTAAGAGATTGGTCTAGGCCAGCACCAGAGGAGGCAATTTGTTTTTCTACCTGGATCAGTGCATGCTAGGTCCTCATCTATCATTTAGAACAAGGCCCTTCAAATGCTTTCTCTTAGAAACCCCTGAGTGACTCTTCTTTTAGCTTTACTTCTATGTAGTAGCTAGCAGTTCATCTCATACACAAAGGTATTTGGAAGTATTCCTAAGAAATAATTTTCTATAAACTCACTATGATGACAATAAAATAGTAAATAACTATGAAAACATGTAACACTCATTTTGCATAACACTTATTTTGATAATCAATCCTGTAACTTCTTCCTTTTGAAAACTTTCCCCACCTTATCTGAAGTTCAGGAGGTAGCTCTTTTTCCTCTTCCCAGATAGTCATTTCTACAATGTATTTTATCACTGAAGGGAATATTTTCCTGGCTTGGGCAATTACCTCTTCAGTCAGTGGACAACGTAAATTCTGTAAGAAAGTATAGAAAAACATTCTAACAACACTATACATAAATAAATGGGTGAGGATGATAATGTCATTAATTTATACAAAATATTCTAATAAAATCATTACATTTCTCTAGGAACAAACTCAAATTGAAGTCAAGAGGATTGTTATTCAAATTACTTTAGACTAACTCCTTATGACCAAGGTGGTAAAACAGATGACAGAAAGGAGGCAGAATTATATGAATGTCATCTCTGCCCTTTTGAGTAGTCTAATAATATAACAGCAAAGAACAGGGTACCTCCTTCTAGCTAACAAAAACTTTTCTTGTAATTTACTCAATTGATTCTCATTGCTACCCTGCAAAATGGCAGGGAATTAATGACATTTAAAGGAAAAGGAACCCATCTAAGGTCAAAAGCCTATCAAAATAACCAGGGGCAAGGTAAGACCTGGGTCTTTTAACCCCTACAGAAAAACAATATTCTTTTCATTACTTATACCACCTCCTTAAATAAAAGGCTTGTTTAAATATAAATTAGCTATTTTGGAAAGCAGTGCAATCATTTTGGAAAAGTGACTTCATAGTTGATCAAAATGTTAAGCATAGTTACCATACAAACCAGCAATTCCACTCCTAGATATCCCTATCCAAGAGAAGAGTAAACATATGTCCACACAAAGTTTACAAATATTCAAAGCAGCATTATTTAATATGTCCCCAAAATAGAAACAACCCAAATATATGTCAACTGGTAAGTGCATAAATAAAATATGGTGTATATCTATATACACTTGGTAAATCTCCATTATGCCCAGCACAATGCCATGTACCTGGCAACGTACGGATTTCACATTTACCAAAGAAGGGATGAAACAGAATGCTAAGTACACAGAATTGTGTCGGCAGATGAGTTAACTAATAATATGCTAGACATAAGGTGTCCTTTTCTTACCTCTAGATCATGAGTCAGTTCCAGAATATTCAGGTCTAATTATAATATAAAGAAATCCTACATGTATTCAGTTCAGAACTAACTTCCACTGTTCTGATGCTCTGTAACTTGGAAAAACCCAAAACAGGGTGCTTCCTGGTGGTGCACTGGGTTAAAGTGCAGTACTATGAAGCTCTCCACATGTATCTTCTGCAGCATGCGTTCTATACCCCACCAGGTTGCTGACCCACATGGCGCAGCAGAACTTTCCTCACCTGCCTGCTGCTCCCCTCAGCAGTGTATTTCATCTCTGCCCTTTTGAGTAGTCTAATAATATAACAGCAAAGAACAGGGTACCTCCTTCTAGCTGTTCCCCACTTGTCTCTGCGGAATCTTCTCACCCCCACACCTCTGGCCTGTACCTCAGTTTTGTATGCATAAATAAATAAATCTTTAAATAAGAAAGAAAGAAAAACCCAAAACAGACCAGAGAAACCTGAGGAGGAGGATGAGAAGGCTAGTTTTGTAAAATCAGTAAGCGAAATTAATTCCCAAGGATTCTTCAGCTAAAGTACAGTCTTCTGGAATGCCTTGTTACAAAATGAATAGGATATAAAAATCAAGCTACAAAGCACTCTCTGACTATAAGCCAAAATATTTTAAAATCCTTTAAAATATATTAGAGGAAGAAACTGAAATTCAAACAAAAACAAGAGATGAATTGCATGGGTTGAAAAACTGGATAGAATGTTTCAAGTAATGGATAGTTGGTGCATTTAATCAAATCATAGGCGCTCAAAAAATATCTGCCAAATGAAATAATAATCTAACATAAAAGGAAGAGAAATGAGACAATCTAAAAAGAGTGCTGAATGATAAAGTTAATGGGGAAAAATGCTAACAATAGGTGACTCGGGATAGAATGTATGACTATTATTTGTACTATTACTATTTTTGCAAATTTTTCTAAATTTGAATTTATTTCCAAATTTCAGATTAAAATTTTTGCAGCAATCTAGAATCTAAAAATGTGATTTTTCAGACCCAATTCTTGTCACTGGCTAGCTATTTAAACCTGGGCAAGTCATTTACTGAGTCTCTGTTTCCACATCTGTAAAATGTAGCTGTTTTCACATCTATCCATACCTGATAAAATAATAATGAAGATAAAATTATATAATGCATGTGATGATGGTTATTAAATTATTAAATACTTATTATAATAATTATTAAAATGATATAATACTGATGCTGATTATTAGCTAACATTAGCTGGGTTCTCTTTTTTTTTTTTTTTAAGATTTATTTATTTACGCATACTGAACTGGAGTACAGACCAGAGGTGCAGGGTTGATGATAGAATTCACCAGAGACAGAGTCAGAGTGCAGAGCAGAAGAGGCGAGGTACACTGCTGAGGGGAGCAGTGGGGAGACATGTGGGTCACCTCCCTGGCCAGGGATCAAGATCATGCTGTGGTGGCTGTGGAGAGATTTATAGTCATTAACCTATTGTGCCACTTGGGAGGGCCCTAGCTGGGTTCTTATAATATGCCAAGTATACTCTAAGGCTGAATACTTCATAGGTACTATCTCATTTAATTCTCATAGCACGGCAAAGCAAATATTATTTTCTCCAACATAGAGATAAAGAAACGAAACTGTAAAAAGGCTGAATAACTTTGCCAGGGTCACAGAGCTAGTTAGGAGGTCTATAAAGCAGAGATTAAGGACACCTTACTTAGGTCCTCTGCAGATATGGTCTTCTGCTTCTACTAAAGACAATACCTCTCCCAGATGTTTTCCATTTACAGTGTTGTGAAACAGAATATACTACGTATGTGAATGGTCTCACAGCTCACATAATGCACAATATTTGGGGTTTCTTAATAATAGACCAGTATCTTTCATCATATATTGCAATGTTTTTTCCACTTTGTCTTTAATCTCATGATTTACCTGTTTGCTATAAAGAGATTATAAATTTATCAAGCTTTTCCTCGTTATGACTTCTGAATTTTAGAAAGGCTGATCTACTTCAAGATTATTTAAAAAATTGACTTATTTCCTTCTAATAAGCTTATAATTTCTTTCCTACAATGAACTTTGAAAAGACATTTGGGATATATCTAATATTAGCACTGGCCAAACTATATTTTTTACTCAATTTGGTAACCAGTTACCCCACAAATCTGAAATCCTAACAGTACTACCAATTTGGGTTTACATTCTCTTTTCTATTCCATCATCTGCTCTTTATTCCTATACTAACAATCACATTGTTTTTATTACTGTAGTTCTTCATTACATTTTAAACCTACTCATGCTCACAACTCTTCTTTTAAGCTTTTTCTGGTAATTCTTACAAATTACTTTTCCAGAATTTGGAGTTACTTTTCAGGTTCTAAATGGCTGTTCTTCTGATTGAAAATATATTAAAGATTAATTTGGGGAAAATATTATTTGTTTGATAATGAATTTTCTAATTCAAGAATGAAGCATGTCTACTAACATTTTTTCTTTCATGCTCACCAGTGAATAGGTCTAAAATTATCTTGAAATAATTTTTAAAAATTATTTATTTATTATTTTTAAAGTACTTTATCTTGCTTGATGCTATAGTGAATGGTATCTTTTCCTCCACTATATTTTCTGAAATCTATTATTTATTAAAAGGTGTCAAGAAATATTTGTTGAGTAGTGTGGTAAAAACTGGATAATCACATGCAAAAGAAAGAATCTAGAATTTTTAAAAATACTTATTTTCTTGACTTTACTTGATTTCTCTCATCAGGTATAGTCTCAATACTTCTCCCACCACCATATCATCCATGACTCATCACCATAGTTTCATGTGCTCTTCTGCCCTGTTTTGACTCCTCTCTTTTCTCCTCTCCTGCTTTAAACCTGAGATCTATGTTCAGCTTGCAAGGTGTCTTTTTATCCTGAAACTTTGTATGGTGAAAGTAGAATGCTATTTCCTACCACACACAAAAGTTAATTCAAAATGAATTAAAAACTTGAATGTAAGAAGGGAAACCACAAAATACATGGAAGAAAACATAGGCAAAACATGCTACTACATTGTTTTCAACAAATGGAACTACATCTAATTAAAAGGCTTTTGCACAGGGAAGACTGTCAGTAAAACAAAGGTACTCCATTGAATAGGAGAAAATATTTGCATAACACACATCTGACAGGGATTAATGTCCAAGAACTACAAAGATCCCATACAGAGCAACAAGAAAACAAGTAACCTGATCAAAAATGAGAAGAACTAAAAAGACAATTTGTCAAGAAGACATACAAATGGCCAACAGGTACATGAAAAATATGTTCACCATCACTTACCAAGGAAATGCAAATTAAAACCACAATGAGATACTTCCTTACACCATTGAGAATAGATCATATCAAGAAGACCAGACACAAGTGTTGGTGAGGGTGTGAGGAAAAGGAACTTTCTTAAATTTGGAGGAGGAAATCAGTGTTGGAGTTTCTCAAGAGACTGAAAATGGATTTGCCATATATATAAATACATATACATATATAATGTATATATATACACAATATATACATATATATACATATATGTATATATATACATTGTGTATATATATAGTATATATATATATACAATATAAACTCCAACACTGATTTCCTTCTTCAAATCTAAGAGAATTATATATATATATATATATTTATATATGGCAAGTCCATTTATATATATAAATATATATATACACACACATATACATATATATACAAATATACATATTTAAAAACATTTTTTAAAGATTTATTTATATATACAGAACTGGGGTACAGGCCAGAAGTGCAGGGGTGGTGAGAGGATTCACCAGAGACAGAGTGGGGAGCAGAATAGGCAGATTGTTGAAGTACACTGCTGAGGGGAGCAGCGGGAGGGTCAGGAGAGGTCTGCCTCACCATGTGGGATCACCTCTGGGGCTGGCAGGGCTTAAACTCATGCAGAAGTGGCTGTAGCTTCTTAGTATTGTGCTTTAACCCCCTGCACCACCAGGGAGGGCCCTATACACATATACATATTTTTTTAAGATTTATTTATTTATGTATATAGAACTGAAGTACAGGCCAGAGGTGCAGGGGCAGTGAGAGGGTTAACCAGAGACAGAGTGGGGAGCAGAACAGGCCAACTGACGAAGTACACTGCTGAGGGGAGCAGCGGGCGAGTCAGGAGTGGTCTGCTATGTCATGTGGATCACTCCCGGGGCAGGGATCAAACTCATGCTGAAGTGGATTTAGCTTCTTATTGCTGTACTTTAAATCACTGTGCCACCAGGGAGGGCCCTGTATAGATTTTTAAAGATTAATTTATTTATGCATACAGAACTGGGGACAGGCCAGTGGTTTTGGGGGGGAGTGGTGGTGAAAGGATTAACCAGAGACAAAGTGGGGAGCAGAACAGGCAGATATACTGAGATGCACTGCTGATGGGAATGGCGGGTCAGGAGAGGTCTGCGGTGCCATGTGGGTCACCTCCCTAGCTGGGGATGGAACTCACGCTGAAGTGGCTGCCATAGCTTCATAGTGCTGTGCTTTAACTCACTGTGCCACCAGGGAGGGCCCAGATTTGCCATATTACCCAGCTTTTCTCTCTATTTAAATAAGTTATGGTACTTTTTTGCTATCTGATCAAACAATTCACCTTCTGTATTTGCAGAGCCATATGAAGACTCTTATAATTCTTCTGTATTTGTGGTTCTATGATTATTTCTCCATTCTTCTTTCCAACTGTTTTTAATGATATTTGTTTTTCTTGATTAGGATGTTCAGTGAATAATCAATTTGATTACTTTTTTTAAAAGAAAAGCAATTAATTGAATTTATGTGTCAATTCTACTCTTTTCTAATTCATTAAAGTCTGCTTCCAGCTACCAATAATTACTTTTACTTGTAATAGTATTATATATTATTTACTCTTATCAAAGTGCTTAACAAAAAGTTTCATAAATCCATCTTTTAATTGTGAATTGATTCATCTTTAGAGAAATAAAGACAATAACTATAAAATCCTTAACTTCTCTTGAATAGTACAGAACTCCTTACATTTAAATATTAGAATATAAAAATCAGGATTATCAACAGAATTTAATTTAACCAATACACAGAACATTTATTTCTATTGCATCCAATTTACAATAAAAATAAAAATCACTATTCTTACCTCTTTCATAGCACTTGCTCTTCCCGGTTCGTGATTTATACAAAAAGGACCAGTTTTCCATGCCTCTGTGTCTCCACAGTCACAAAATCCTCCTCCAGTAGAAGTATGCATCTGATAAATTTGAAAAGTGAGTTTGCCTTGATTTCAAAATGTATTACAAAACAAGGAAGAATGATAAAGGAGACTCAAATAATAAATTCTCCACAATAATTCAACTTTGCCTTTAATGTAGTAAAAACTAAGACATATTAAAAACCACTTTGTGATCTTTCCATTACAGTTGTATGCAAGTAGGCTGTGTCTCTATCTGTGACTACTAGTTGGCAACAAGAACAAATGGGAACATGGTCTTTTCAGAAGGTCTCTGAAGGCCAGATCACTGCTTCCTGAGCTAGGGAATGGAAGCAAGGAAATCTGAGCAAATGGGATGAAGGACATGCCCTCAGGTTGCAAATTAATAATGGGTGGCCAGTATGTAATCAAAACATGAGTATCAGAGCAAGAAGCATAGGCCTGCTATGAGATTTTGAATGCTGGAGAATGGTAACGAGCACTGTGATTTGGTATTGGCAGCAGCTGAACCCAAGAGGCTACATTGCCAGAGATGGCCAGCACGCTGCAGGAGGGGTGGAGTCTCAAGGAGCAGTGGTCACCATCAATTTGGACTCTAAAAACTAAGGGTTTTAAAAACATTTGTTATATAAACATGTTCCTCTTGTGCTGAGTGCTGAAGAGACCATTCTTATCAAGGACAGAGCCAAGAAATGTTGTTTGGCAACCTTTCTTTGGGTCAGAGGTTTTTGGTGTCATTAAATTCACAAATTTTCAAATCATTACCCTTGCTCAACAGGCACATCTGTTTTTTTTACTATTGCATAAACTGGTTGTTACATTGGCTGAGGGCTTACTTAATTCCTCCTGAAATTATGTCCCCACAAAATTATCATAAACTAATACTGTTAAAAATAAAACATTTTGATTAGTGAGCAAAAATCTTGAATACTTAGTCATAACAAAAATGAGCCTTCAAAACTGATAAATGCTGCATATTCTAATTTTTAAATGTTATTTAAAATTTTTTGTACTAATATAGGACAGATTTTGAAGTGTGCAAAAATAATCTACAACACCCAGAATCTTTGCATGAAGTCTTCTGATTAAAAACACTTTTACAGGGGTGATTTGGTGATGGGGAATCCGTGGGGATTACAATTGAGATGAAAAAAAAAATGTGCAAAATGATGTAAAAATAAACTTTTTAATAAAAAAAAAGTTAAAAAAAAAAACACTTTTAAAATGGAACTCTCCTACATTGACATTGAGAATGCAAACTGGTTCAACCACTATGGAAAGCTGTGTGCAGGTTTCTCAAAGTACTAAAAATGGAGCTACCATATATAACCCAGAAAATCCATTCTAGGAATCTATCCAAAGGACATAAAAACATTAATTCAAAAAGATACCTGCACTCTTTTGTTTACTGCAGCACTATCTTACAATTGGTAAGATAATGGAAACAACACAAATGCCCAAAAATAGATGACTGGATCAAAAAGACCCAGTACATATACACAATAGAATACTACTCAGCAGTCTTAAAAAAAGATAAACTCATGCCATTTATAGCAACATGGACAGAGCTTGAAGGGATCATGCTTAGTGAAATAAGTAAGAAGGAAAAAGAAAAATATTGAATGATTTCACTTATAGGAGGAATATAGGGGAACCAAATAAGGGATGGGGGGGAGAAATAACAACAACAACAATAATAATAATAATAACAATAATAATAACAATAAAACAAAACTAGCAGGCAACCATAAATAAGAGGAAGGGCAAGAAAATGGATCAAAAGAGGGGAGAGAAGAGCACAAGGGACTATGGTGATGGATCATGAGTGAACTGATGGTGGGAATTTTATAGAAAATACACAATAATGTAAAAGATATAAATAATTTATAAAAAATACCTTAAAAAATTTTAAATCACTGCAATGACACTTACATAGTACTAATGTCCCAAAGCAAAACTAAAATTTATTCATATTTTTCCTTAAAAAAATTAAAACAGACTAATCCAGATAGCAAACGACATAAATGAATCTCCCTGAAAACTTGCCCTCCAAAACATACAATTAACAAGGAGGAGAACAATAAAATAACATGTGATGTGTATCTGCATCTTTACTAGGAGACCAAGAGTTAGTTACTACAACCTTCAAATGACTTATTCCACTAGAGTTTACCATTGCCTATCACTTTAAGCCAGTGAATGCAGACATAAGAGTGGGGAGCTTCAGGTGCTCCATAAAAGAGAGATGGATATACAGGATTGAAATGAAATAAAGACAAATTCATACACAAAAGAGAAATGTCAGTGTTAAAGTTCTAAACTCAGTTTGGGGTTTGGTGGTTCACAGGGAAAATGATCAGGACCAGAAGTGGCAACTTCAAAGAACCATGGCTTTTGTAAGACAATCAAATATGTTTTTTTAAAAAATAAAAGTGGTTACCTCTTAAAGGTGTGGTAGAGGACTTAAGGAGGAATAAAGACCCCACAGAAACAAGAGAGAAACAAGACATGGCAAATCCTTCCCTTACTTTACCACTACAAGCACAATCATTTGCATAGAAATTACATACAAAAGGACATCATTGACAGAAGAGGGCGCTTGTGAGTCCTGAACATGAAAAGAAAAAGAACAGAATAAAGTATAATATATTTAAATAAAACTATCGCCTCCCGGTCACCAAAATGGCCATGAAGAGTCACTGGGGTTAAGCTCTCTCTTGGATATAGTTATTAAGGGAGAAACTGCAGCAAACTCCAGCCAAGACTCAGATGTTTTGAATAGGATCGAAGTCAGGGGAAGAAGGAGGAAGGTGAAAGCAACAGAAAAAGAAAGGAGGGGGAGATATCCATCAGAATCCAGTTCCCCCACCCCCACCTACAAACCCAAACACCTCGACCAAGGTAAGAAAAGGAGGAGAAAAAAAACCTGACTGCAACTGGGAAAAGGTAAAAACATCTGAAAACACCAGAGGGAGAAACAAAGGTCGGCAGGTTGATTTGCGTGGGGGGAAGTAGTACTACTACAGATCCATGAGGGGGAGACCTGTGGGAAGGATAAGACTCAGCATTCTTGCCACCACTGGGAGTAGGGCAGGGGCCTGGCTGCAGCCTGTGGGAACACCTGGTCCCCTGACACAGCCAGAGGCAGGGCCACAACACTCCAGCCTTGTGCAGCCATTCTCTGATAGTGGAAGCCAGGCAGGGAGTGGCAGCCAGCATACAATACCCACCATTAACCTTAGCCAGGGCGCACCTCTGCTGCTGAAATAGGAGGGACTCTGCCATGAATGGAGTGCCAGGACCTTGGGTGCCTGGTGGGTTGTGACAGCCTGTGCTCAGCTCCCAGCCATTAGCTAGAAGTGTGACAGGGTGTGGCCACCAGGTGGGAAACAGGTGGGACTCTCACGAATAGGGAGTCCTGCATTCTTGCTTCCCAGGAACTTGGGTGCCAGGCAGGGCATGATAGCCTGCACTCAGCTCCTAGCCATTAGCTGGAAGAGTGACAGAGTGTGGCTGCAGCTCGCTGGAACAGGCAGGGATACCCTGCAGTAACAAGCCGCACACAGCACCTGATCATGAGGAGTTGGGCAATGGCAGAGCTGCCATTACTAGCACATAGTACCTTATCTGAATTGGAAACCAGGCCAGGGATGGGGCCTCTGACAACAAGACCACAAAGCCCCATTAACAACTTCAGGCAACACAGGGACTACCACCACCAATAAGAATGTGCATCCCCCAATCACAATCACAAGCTAGGAATCTCACCAACCCCCCTTAGAACAGTGGAAACACAGAGGGAGAGAGTCACCAGATACGACACTCAAACTCACCACCATACTCACAACAACAGCACCTTTGTGGAGAATTGGTGCATTAGTCGTTGCCCTGGTCTGAATACCAGCCCTCGGCCACCCTAGAAGAAGCACCCAGAAGAAATGCTCACCAATACTAGCAACACAGTGTCTCAACACATAGAAAGCATTAGGAAACAGGCGACAGGGAAAGCAAAAACACAAGTACGCAAGCAAGCCCACAGGGAAAAATTACACCACAAAAAGATCAATCACCAGAAATCAACAAAGATATAGAACTGCTCAGCCTGTCAGAGAGAGATTTTAGAATCATGATTAACAAACACAAAGAAGATGAAAAGGAAAATAATGATATGAGACAAATAATCAATGAACTGAAGAATGAAAATGAGACCTTAAAAAAAGAAAATAAAAGGAATGCAGGAGATTAAAAGACCACTGGAGGAGATAAACAATTCTGGAGAAAGCAGTGAAAACAGAATAGATGAAATGGAAGAATGAACCAGCACCCTCGAAGACACAGAAATAAAGAGAATTAAAACAAAAAGAAAGAGAAGGGAAAAAGGAAAAGGAATGAAGAAACACTGAGAGCTACCTGACATCATAAGGAAAGGAAATATCAGAGTTACAGGTCTTCCAGAATGTGAGGAGAAAGGCCAAGGAATCAAGAAAATATTCACAGAGATAATTGAAGAGCTCTTCCCAAGTATGAAGGAGATGAAAATAGACATACAATAAGCAAGGACACTAAACTACTATGATGAAAGGAGAAATACAGCAAGACACATAATAATAAAGCTTCCAAGAATCCAAGACAAGGATAAAATGAGATTGAAAAGAGGGAAGAAACAAATAACTTATAAAGGAAAACCAATCAGGCTGACATCAGACACTATGGGCAAGAAGAAAATGAGGGACATATTCAAGAACTCCAAGACATTAAATGCCAACCACGAATATTTTATTCTGTGACACTCTCCTGCCTCTCTGAAGAAACAATAAGGACATTCTCAGACAAACAGAAATTCCACAATTTTGTCATGATAAAACCCCCACTCCAAAAAATACTACAAGAACTCCATAAACCAAAGCCAACAGAGGGATGAATAAGATCAAAACAAGGAATAAAAGCACAAGAAGACAAACAAAATGGCAAATATAGGTGCCAATGTATCAATATTAACTCTAAATGTAAATGGTTTAAATTCATCAATAAAATTTGGC